ATGGTAAATACGTCGAGTCACGAGATTCTGGTCGTCAACGTCTGTACTGCTTAAACTGGTTGCTGAGACGCCACGGTTTCGCAGTTCGCAGATATGCGAGTCCACAAGAGACTTGAGAGGACAGACAACCAAAATTATTGCATGGCGAGGGTATGAGTATCCTCTTAAGGAAAGGTACTTGCAAACAGCTGGTAACAACTGAAATATTATACACTTTCCATGTCCGGTTGATAAAATGGTGAACACATCCTTTCGACTCAAGGCGGCGAACAAAGCTTTCTTTTGTTGCTCAGTGAGACTCAGGAAAGCGCTCATCAAGTACCGAGGTCAAAATTTCTTCGAATATTCTTTCAGGAACAACATCCAAGTCAAAATCTCGAAACATGGCGTGCCTTTACGTGCCTTGGTCCCGTGCAGATGTTATTGCGAGTGCGGTATACAAACAATTTTCTTCCCTGGTAGAGAGAGGCAAAATTTACCTTCAGAAATGAGGTGTGAAAATCCTCAGCGTCCCCTCGGTAGTTACAATTAAACAAGCCAATCAAATTGGTTTGCGTGTTTGAAAAAATATCAACCAATCAACGCCCGAGGGTCAGATCCTGACCCTGTCGTCTGCATGAAAGTGAGATTCGAGGCCAAGGTAACCAGAGGTTTTTCGCTTTCTCCTCGTCGCTTTCGCGACTCGTTGTCGCCGCTTCACGGCTTCCTCTTGATCTCTTTCGCGAAGAAAAATCATGAAAAACCTCTGGGACCAGGGTAGGGAATACGCTGTTATTTACTATTTTGAACGGAAAAGAAGTCTCTTCAAGCTTATGTTTCAAAAGCAAAACCAGCAATTTTTCAAGATGCGAATAATTAAAACTTTTTCCTGTCTGAAATAAACCAAACGTAAAATCTCGTTTTTTCGGCCTAATTATAAACTTGCCTTATGACTCTAAACTCGCGGCTATTTACTAAATAAACGGCTTCTTAATGAAGGAGAGATGTCGCGGATTACTACTTCATTAATTCAACTTCTCATAGACAATTAATCACTGATTTTATTATTTTTCTAATTATTTTTCTAATTGGTATCTGTTTATTTGACTTTAGATCAGGCAAAAAAAGTGGAAAAACTAGAGAAAGAGGTGAGTTTCTATTTCTAAACGACGCTTAGTTCTAGGAAAAAACGTGCAAAAAAGGAAGGTATTTCTTCATGTCATTTAACATTCTAAAAGATTCTTTACCGATTTCATTTCTTTCTTATCCGATGTTCACCAAGATAGGCGTTTTTTTTGGTTATCTTTTTTACTGGCGTTTGTTTCAGTCCAAAAAAATTTGACGCACGAGAACAATAAGCATCAACGCCTATTCATCCCAATTTTGGGGCTTTACAAGAGTCTGTCTTTAAAAGTAACTTAGTTTATTGATCTGATAGTCGTATTCAACAGCTAGACAAATCAAAAGAGTTTCAAGTGAGCATTATTAATCCTCTTCTTGTTCTTCTTCTTATTTTATTTTCATTTATTTATTTCTTTATTTCTTTATTATTTTTTGAACTCTCCTAAAGGTCGCCAACTTAAAAGCAGAACTGGGAAAGGCAGGCAAACCTTCTGGCTTCGCTATGCTTGACAGCAATGGCCGCCTGCCCCACAACCTTCTTGTAGCAGGTTATGATAAATACTCTGCCTACGACTTGGCGTGGCAGTCTCTCCACATGGCGGCTGCTGCTGCCTGCAGAGGTAGCACATCTTCAGGGGGAACTGGTTGCTGTCCAAACCAAGTGATGGCCAGAAACAGAGCTGACAAGAAGACTTGTGCTCAGATTTGTGCCCAGACTGCTTACCGCAACTGTGACGCAGAGGTTTCAATCTACGGCAAGAAAGGCAAGGCCACAAAGAATGGAATGGTCGTTGGCGCGTTTTACAACTACGGTTGTAGCAGTTATCATGTTGCGGGGGGAAATGAGGTGTCCAGTTCTGACGAAACTGTCATGAACTACAGTGAACCTTATTTCAGCTTCTGTTGCTGTCGAAAGTAGTATCCACAACAGTTCTGTTACCAGGGCGATTAAACTCATCGTAGTCGGGAAGTAGATAATAACTATGTATCGCCATTTATTTCTGGTAATGATTGAAGCGCAAAATAAAAGCTGTAACTTGGGATAAACAACTGCCTCTGGTGTTTTTGTCTTGTACTGCATTACCCCCCTCCCCCGTCCTCAAGGGAGAAGGGGATGAATTGGGAGGTAGAAACCTTGAAAGTGAGCGCTACGTGTTTAGTCAGACTAGTAAAAATTTCTTGGATTCTTAAAAATAATGGAAATTTATTTACCATGTTTCTTAATTAAAATGACTCGAGCTTATACAGACAAGATTCTTAAAACCCTATGCATCCACGAATAAACCTCTGTGATTCTCTCGAGGCCTCCTCGACAGACAAAAATAGGAGGGGGTAGGAGTATTTCAAGTCTCTCTTAGTTCTCTCTCTATCATTTCCAAAGCATTCGTCTAACGCTATGACAACACTATACAGGAAAGCTCTTGCGCCTGCGCGAAAACCATACCTTATAAGGCTTTTTTGTTAACACACAAGAACGGTGATTTTAGAGTGGTTTCCGGTAACGGAGCGAAGCTGCGCCGCCCTGATCTTGAAAGTGCTGGATCGTCAAATAAGTTTTCATACTAGGACAGGATATTTTTTTCATGTTGACATGCCATTTTCAGCTTTAATTAAATTTGCAGGGGTAATGGTCCAAGTCCAAGTCCATTTCCTCACGTTGATCACGTGAAAAAAGTGGTGGCATCACATGATTGGTGGAATTATGTCGTCATCGCGAAAATTCCATGATCTTAAGTCGGTAGCCATGAAGCTAGAAAATTGCCAGACACTTTTCAAAGCTATCAAGTCATTAACAGTAAGATGATAGTTATAAAAAATGATCTACATATGTAATGGTTGGGCCCCAAAACTATTAGGTGAAATTTTCCATTTTAAATGTACAATGAGGAGGAAAAGCAACTTTCAACGTTAGTAGTTCTTCCTTAAAAGCTTGCTTATCCAAAAAACAACGGGTATGCTTTGCAAACTTACAAAAGTAGGTCTTAACAACAATTGCAGTGATATATTTAATTGCTCAAGTCACGAAGTAAAATGAATATTGATCAGTACATGCTTTTCAATTAAGGATGTCAGGTTTGCGGGAAATCATTCTTCATTCATTTCAATAACGTTTTTCGGTAGAACTTTCGCTGATGAATTACCCCTACTACAAATAGTTAGCAAATTTGCCGAGATAAATTATTTCAAGGATTAACGTCATTGACATTAGCTTTGAAAACAGGTCTTCGTTACAGAATCTAAACCTTTCCCCTGGATATTCTCTTGGTGGAAAAGCTTTGGCTCACTCCGGACTTTGATCTCATTTCATGCTTGCAGTAAAACTACCATGGGCAGGAATATCATCACTCCATTATGTGGTAAACGTCCTTGTAAACATGAAAGACTGAACTAAATAGTACATTTTTGGGTCAAGTATTCTTTTGCTAAAACCACCATTTCCAGCATTGTTGTGAAAAGTTATTAAAAGCGTCGACTTCAGTCACGTGATTTCTAAGTGTTGGCGCGTTTACATTTCAATGCCTCCTGATTGGCTGAGCCGCTTTGGACATATAACTCCCCAGAGGTTACCTGTAAGGGTAAGCTAAGCAGTCATAAAGCAAGAATCCTGCGAGGGGACTCCTACACATCCTCTCTTGTAACTGCATTCGACACAATCAAGGATTTTCATTAAACCTTCAAATGTGTCCTACGTTATCCCTCTTCGACGACATTTTAGGCTCATTTTAAGGCCTATATTTTACAGTTAAGGTTACGCCCTTTCAGTGGACTGTATAAATATCACATTGGGTAGCCCGCCTAATTCTTTCATATTTTTGTCGATTTAGGAAACCGGCGGTAAGTACGTCTATTTGAAGTTGACTACTGTAGCGCAGGAAAGATAAGCGCGCGCAAGACACATGACGTCACAATGGACTTGATTATTTCTGATCGCAACGTTTTTTCATGCCTTACTTCGGTTGGTACAGAAAAAGAGAACAACGAAAGACTTTATGACAGCAACCGAACACATAAAGACACCTAACCATTTTGGTAAGGAGCATTTTACATGCGGAAGTCACGGTAACATGGACTCATTTAATTGGGCGGTTTAAGATTAGACTCTTAATTGCATCTTAGTTGCTTTGAATTGGATCTGTTTCGAAAAATCCGATAATGGATGAATTCTTTAGCGCGCCGACGTCAGGTATGAGACCGCAGAGATGGGGCGGATATCGTTTTTTCCCCCTTTTTTTAATAAGAAGATCCGCTTTCAGTAGATATCTTAGACATTTCTATCTGATGTAATGAATCAATACAATACAATACAATACAATACAATACAATACAATAACTTTATTTAAAGAGGGAAGCGCAATAACCTGTTACATTTTTCTAACCTACGGCCCTCAAAAAAATAGATAAATAGATAAATAAATTTAGAAGACTAAAAACAAATAAATTTATAAATATATATATATATATATATATACACAAAAGAGACAATATTTAAAGTAGAATAGGCTATAAACACGTAATGAATAATATATAAATCGACGAAGGGGGGCAAAATATGTACTATAAATGAACATGTATACATATATACATAAATATGAATTAAAAGACGTAATAGTGGTTGTAGTAGGACTATGCAAAACAGTGACAATGAATAGAATAGCGGCAAGTCGAGCACAGTAGATCCTCCAAGTGCTCAGCCGATGATAGGCGTGAGAAAAACAGACTTCGTAATTTAGACTTAAGAGAGGAGGGAAGAAATTTAAATATCAGTGGAGAAGAAGAAATAGAAAACTCTTTTAAGTCGGAACTGAGGTCATTAAAAAGTTTAGTAGCAGTATAGGTCAAGGTGCGTTTCCCAGAGTTGCTATGTGGGCATGGCACCTTTAAGTCGTAGAGAGAGGCTCTTGTAAAACGGCCCAGAGGTCCACGCGAATCACAAAGAAATTGAAATCTGTTCCTGAGACATTTAGGAGCATTCGGATTAAGGAGTACGATGAAAAGAAGAAAAAGTTTCCTGTATTTAATAAGATCAAAAACGGGAATCCAGTTAAGTTTTAAAAATAAAGAAATAGAAGCCTGAGAGAGCTCGGCATCAAGGAGTATACGCCCAGCACGCTTCTGAAGACGAAGCAGTCGTAAGAGGAGATGGTGGGAACAGTTACCCCAGGCAGCAGAACAATAAATAAAGTAGTTGTTAACACAAGAATTATAGAATCTTAAAGCAGAATCAAAGTTAAGAAAAGGTTTGATGCGACGGAGAAGAGAAAGCCTACTGTTAATAATGCAGTAGGCTTTCTCTTCCATCGGGAGTATCAATTCCTTAGATACACCGACAAAGAAACACACCCTTCCCATACTGACATGACTTAGAAGCCTTTGGTAAAAATGTACCAACCAGCTACTACCATGGTACCGACACGTTATCGACTGGCAACCGGCAAGCTACCGATAACTTACCGACAAGTAAATGACAAGAACACCAAATTTTTCGTTTCATTTTCAGTTGATAGTAAGCCTGGCTATGGATTCAGAACACCAGTTCCCAGAGTACATAGCGAGGAAATGGAGTGTTATGAGCAGCATGTGTATTCCTACGAAAGCTCCTTTTATTACATAAAAGGCAAACTAGGAGGCCATTACGTGACGTTGAAGAGATACAGGTGGGAAGAGAAGGACCATGTTCAACAAGAGCAGTTCTCAATTGAAGTCTCTCTGCTAAGGTAAAATTCAGCCTGATTTAGTATCGCTACGCACATCGCCGCGGAGATCACAGACGGCGCTTACGAATATATCCCGAAGCAGGCCCACGCTTACTTCGTGACCTTTTTATAATCACTATTAATAGTATCAGTATTTATAATAGCTGGTATTGGCTTCTCTGGGTTTCATAGTACACGTGTTACTCACTCCGAAAAATCATAGCATGTACAACAGTCGTTGTCTGGCTGCGCGCAAATTAGTAGGAATAACTGTTACGCGCGAGGCGCGAGATGGATTTATTGTTCTGAACGCCCGCATAGCACTCGGCTAATTAAAGGCTCCCTCCCTCGATCATTCCTTTGTTGCTATCCAAAGCAACCGTTCTCTAAAGAACCCTCCTTTTCCGGAAGATCAATCTCAACAGATTTATGATAATGTCCGGAGGAATGGAATGACACGTTTTTCTTTCTTTTTCAGCGACTTGCGGCATCCAAATATCCTCCTTCTTATGGCCGTGTATGATAGTACGGATGCTTTAAAGCGGGGACTTGTGCTAGAGCCCGTAGAACGTGGCTTCTTAAGAACGCTCCTTCTTGAGGGCAAGACTGTCTTTGATGAAGACACTGTTCTGCGTTTCAGCCGAGACGTAGCATGCGCAATGCAGTTTGTTCATCAGCGGGGTTATATTCACTGTTATCTGGGTTCACCTAGTTTGGTATTGACTGAGAACTTTACGGCAAAGGTTCGTTTCTTAGTTGCTCATTTATTGCGGCTTACGCTTTCCACGCTACAAATAATTTCGGACTGCATTTGTGGCCCTCAGAGTTCAAGTCCGTCGTACAAAACTCGGCGATTCGTTAACATGAAAGGGAAAAAGTTGGCTCGGGTCACCCTCTTTTTTTTCGATGGTAGGGTCACTTTACTAGCCGGGCCAACTCTTCAACATATAAGGTCTATAAGCAATTTGGTTCTCCCAGCCGGGTCAACTCGATCAAGGCGAGACAATAGGGAACTTAAGCAATGACGACTACGACGGCAACAAGAACAACAAAAAAACAATATGATGCACTCTGGACGTGCGTCACGCTTTTTTGTACCTTTCTTTGCCGTCGTTGCACGACTACGACATGAAACTGCCTAATTTCACGTTTTGTAGAGGGCGTGAACACAAGACAACGACTTTCTTTTTCTTTTTCTGAACTTCGATACAGTCCTTTAGAAGTCAACTCCAGAAAAATTCGTCAACTTTTTTTTCGTCAACTTTTTTCTCATATAAACGCTCCCCTGAGAGGGTGATCCTCTTTCCGGAACAAGTTTTCTCCATAAAAACGGGGCTTAAGGTTTCTCTCTTTTCTGGTCCTGTATTAACTACATGCACGTATGAAGACGATTCTTTGAGTCTTAAAACTGTTTCTCTAGAAGGTTCTTACTTTTGAATAACACATCAATAACCATAGCTGCAACTTGAATCTCGCCAGATTTGCAACTTTGAATTTGCACAGCAAGTAAATGGCGACTGTAGCTGCAATCCGATCAGCCATCATGAAACGCTGTTTGGCTGGATGGCGCCTGAACAACTCATTGGTAAGCCCGCTGACCAGGCTGGTGATGTGTTTAGCTTTGGGGTTCTCGTCTGGGAATGCATCACAAGGACGCATCCTCTTAAATATGTCAAAAGTGTAAAGCAACTAACAAAGGGAAAAGTTGACCCTCGCTTACAGAAGATCCCTGGCAACTGGAGCCAAACTTTCAAGGTCTTGATTGGCGACTGCCTGAAACCTGCCCCCACAAGGCCAAATTTCCAGCAGGTAAAGTTCAATTAGAAGCAATGTAAAAGACCCAAACTAGGGGCATATTAACTCCAGGAGCCAGGAACAACTCTCTACTCGTTTCAATTGCTGCGAGCCTCCAGGCGAGCAGCAAGCTAATCTTTGGGTCTCCTGTGGTTCCTTGGGCCGAGAAGTGTACTGTCGTTATTTAGATGTTAGATTATGGATTTATGTTTGATAGGATGATTTTTAGTAAATGTGTCCAGCGGTGTCTTTATTACTTAATTTTAAATCGTAACACTCTTCTTGCGTCATTCTAATTTCTTTAAGTTTTTACATGGTGGCGCGCGCAAACAGTGTTAATTATTTTCGTATGACTGTAACTGACTTGCCAATAAAGACAAAAACCATCAAGAATTTGTAATTGAAGGACTCCCTTATAGTCCTTTATACCCACAACTATTAATTGAACCAATAAAAGGGTCTGTAATAAGCAAAATGTGTTCGTCAGTTCATCTATTCTCAGATGATGTTTTACTTCTCAGCACCTGCTCGCAGCATAAAACGTACAATTTGCATCCTTGTGTTCGATATTAGGTCTAATTACGTAAAACATAACGATAATCTACCTATATAGGTATAAAATCTCTTCAATCTTTTTTCACAAGGAACTTGTTCAACCCACCTTCCTCGTGTCAATTTGCGGCGCTAGGTTCAAAAGAGAAGAGACCTTGTTTTTTAAAAGAAAGTAAAAAAAAATTGGTACTCTCTTTCTTTTGTTCTAGATTAATGGATGGTTATCTGCCATACTGACGTCACAGTACGTATGTTTACGTCCAAAAAGTTTCATCGTTGAAGAAGGCAGCAACTTATTTTCGTCCAGAACTGTAAAATCAGCGCGCACAACTCAACAGTGAAATAAGGGAAACCAGCTTCGTTTCACCATGACATCTATAAGTATTTTGAGGACAATGACCCCAACGCTTCAGTCTTTTTCTATTCATTTTTCTTTGATAGTTTGGATATTTTTGCAATTTAACACGAATCGCTTCATTTCAAAGAAAAGATAGATGATGAAATATGACTTGTCTCGAATTTTTTTCAATGACCTTTATTTGTATTTACGTATTTACCTAGTAGAAGAACCTGAAAGTTTTCTTCTTTAATAATGACGTTTGAAATTCATTGACTAGGGGAACAAAACTTGAAATTTTATTCTGTCAGGAGCCTTAGTATATGAACATGTGTTGCCAGATGTTAGCTTAATATATATCTAATTGTATACAACGTTATCCTGTCAAAAATACTCATTCACTTGTGTCAAAAACTCCCTGATTTCTCCTTAACTACAGTTTTCTTTTACGCGTGGAGACATAATGCAACCTTGAATCGAAATTTATTTGTTTTGTTTGCATTCTTTTGAAACTTAACAGCAGATAAAATAGAATACTTTTTCTTGTTTATTTTCCCCCTTTTACACTTTTAGTTACATTATGTTTTTACTCTAGGACTAGTCACGTGACGGTTAACGAGGTCGGTGGTTTGTTGCGTACTGTAGCAATCAGAGCACCAGGTCTCCTCTTCTTTTGTGACCCGCCGCTGGCTGTAAGGTGCATTCGTCGCTCAGTTTGCATCTTCGCATTATAGTAAGGCACGGAGTCGGGATGCTCCATTAAAAGCTCGAGTTGAAGCCGATCGAATTTTTCTTGCTCATCTTCGGGAATCCGACCGTCTCGGCCAGACTTCGACTCATCGTCGGCTCCAAGGAACGACTCGGAATACCAGTTATCGAACTCAGTGACCAGTCGATGCCTGCACTGATTCACCAGCTTTTCACAGTACGTCACCTCAGACTTTGTGTTCAGCAGGTCCTCGTAATCGCGTCTATAGTGCGACTTGAGATCCTTGACTTTCCGAACGAGTTCGTATTCATCTTCGTCGATCACGACTTGTCCTTCATCCGTTCGGAATTCTCCTTGTTCGAGTCGTTCTTGTCTCCTCGTCTCAAGTAAGACTCCATTGTCATTAATCTCTTTCATCAAATTATTGACGGACTCAGATAGTTCTTTCGCTTTCCTCTTCTTTTCCCGCAGAATTTCTGAAAAAAGGGAGATTTAAGAGGGTTTAAACAACTAAAAACGCCCACCAATCGAATTTGTTTGAATGAAGGGTTGGCGCACGCGTCTTAAACAAACACAAGCTAAAAGGGACACTTAAAACAAGTGACCCTTTCAAACCAACGCACGACCTGGCCAGGGACTTACGCATGCGCAAAAGTAGAAACATGAAAACTGTCTGACGGAGTCAACACTGGTCTTCTTCATTCGCATCGAGTTTGTGTAATCGTGGGGGAGCAAGCGTAAGGGTAGGGTGATGGTCGGATCAATGCTTAAAGAAATTCTTTTCCAGATGCTCCGTTTTTCCCACTTTTCTTCAAAACCAACCTGTTCAAATTTCAGTTCGACCTGGAATGAAGCATAGACTCCTCTACAGTTTCTAGGTGTTTCACAGCTAAAGGTGATGTTACATGAGACGATTCACAATGACGATTTTTACCGCAACACAGTGTTGTAACATTGTTGCGACATTAGTGATTTACGCAACGGGACGGCAGGAAGAAGAAGACGGCAGAACGCTCGTGTGTGACAAACGTGACAAGGCTATTTCTTACGTGTTTTGTCGTGATCTTCACTTAACATCAATGTTTTCTGGTCTTTTACAAAAAGATCTGTTTAAAGGAAGGTGAATTTTGGCGAAAAGTTATTTCAAGCAAAATTATTGTCACGCTTGTCACACAAGGTTTGCCGTCTTCTTTCCTCTCCCGTCCTGTTGCGTAAGTTCACTATTGTTTCGAATGGTTACAACATTGCAGTGCTGTGTTCACCTTAAAAAAACTGCACATAGATATTTCATAGCCGCGCGGAGATAGGAAATTTTTCTTCATGAACAAGCGTAGGGAACGAGTGAATATATAACGGACACTCTCGTACGTGGAAAGCTCTACTAACAGCCGCGTTCATAAAACCCTCTTTTTCTCATTCAACTCCCATACAACTCTATTTTTACATCTCCATAAGTGGCCAATGGTGTCCTAGAGCTTGGACTGTATTTATTATATTAACACCACTGAAATACCAAACCATTTCACTTTAATATTTTTCTGCTGCGAGAGGCGCAATTTAGCGTATAACCATAGCAACGGTAATCTTTTCACGTCTGAGGATAACATGTTATTTTCAAGGGTCAAGATGTTTCGCTCAAAAGGTCACCTGGTATTTCATTGGTGTTATACAATTATCATTCTTCCGAGTCTCTTAATGGCTTAAGCAGCCCTGAAGTAACTGTAGTGGACTGTATATTGAGAAAACTTTACCTTTATTCTGGTTAAGAATACGGTTAATCTCGCTCCCCCTCTCTTGTTTAAATTCCTCAAAGGCTTGACCCTTGGCAGGAGGCGTGGACGCGCGCTGAGTAGGTGACTGGGCAGAGGGTGACTGAAGCCGATCCTGTCCCTCACCACTTCCTTGTCCATCACTCTGCCCAGCACCGCCAGTGACAGGAGACTTTGCACTATCCCTTTCTTTTCCTTTGTTGCGGCTTTTCACCTTTCTGGTACTCACTAGGGTGGAGACATTAGGTTTGACCCCTGGTGGAGCAACTCCAACGCCGAATCCTTGCCCGTCTACTTCCCCAACCAAACCACTGTCATCACCGGGGACAGCTCCTAGCTTACCCCCGGTAGCTACAAAAGAAAAAGACTGTGATTAGATGAAAGAAAGAAATTCGTTTCACTTTGCAAACATAGACTATTTTATGTGGATCCGGACTGGATCATTAATGTGACACACAAAACTTGTCGCCATCCGTTTAAAAGGGGCTTTGTCACGTCTCTCCAGTTCACTGCGCGTCATTACTTTCAATGGAACTTAACCCTTTAAGCTTCAAGATCCACATACAAATTCTCCAGACTGATCTCCATACATTTCTTTTAAGAATAGTTGAGAGAATTTGCTCTAAGATCAAAGCATTCTCCCTTTGGTAATCAATTTAGTAATTCTCATAACCTTTACTCGTAATGATCTACTAATGTTGTTAGGAGAAAATTGATGTTGATTACTCTTGGGACCTAAAGGGTTAACTCAATCCAAGAAATACTTCCAAGTGACTAATTCACAGCTTCACGTTAAACAAACATGTCTCCCAAGCATTATATCAAACATTACAAACAACAAAAATGAAATGTCAAGCTACTAAGTTGTCAAAAAACTATAATTGCAATCCGTTTTACCTTCTTCAAGTTCGTTTAACCGTGCCTTCTTTTGTTTTCGCTGCTTCAATAAAACGTTGTTTTAATGTTTTGAGCGGTTATTTCAGTTTGTTTTGACTCAATTTGATGGCAGTTTCTACTGTTTGAGTTTTGATAAATTTCGTGACACAGCTGTTAGGTCTTTTCACAGACCGTAATGACACTTTCTCCTACCCTTTCATATACTCAAGGTGAAATACCTCTACCTTTTCATATACCTCAAGCCAGAAAAAGGTACTCTTTTCGGATGGAGACTCGCACCCCCCCACCCCTCCGAAGAAGCAGGAGTCCCCCATCCCGGGTAGCAGGGGTGGGGGAGGACGTGAAAAAGGGAGGGGGTTAATTTGAATTCGAAAGTTGTGCAGGAGAAAGAAAAAATGAAAAGAGGAAATGGCTTAAAGGAGCTGTCTCACGAATCTGATTATGAATTCAGTCAGTAGGAACTGACACCAAACTGAGTGGAACATAAAAATAATCGCTCAAAACGTTAATAGAAGGTACTAATAACACAACATATACAAATATAGGCACGGATAGATAAACTTGGAGAAGATAAAAACGGATTGAAATTGCAGGTTTTTGATTTGTTAGCCTAACAATTTTCAAAGTTCTTTTTTTTGGTTTGTAAAGTTTGTTATAATGCTAGGGAGGTATATTTGTAGGACAAGAAGCTGTGATTTTGTCGTATACAAGCAATTTCTTCGTTAAAATTAAGTTCCACAGCGCATACGCAAGCGGTCATTTAATTCCCCGCTGTTTTTATTTTTATCACGCGCGCTCGATGGACTTTTAAGAGAAAATAGAGGGCCTGTGAACAGGCTAGCCGTGACACCACCCCTTTAAAAAGTTTCACCTTCAGCAAAGTAATATAGAGGGACGAATCCATCCAGATTCGTTTTTGAAACTTTAAAGTGCACTACATAAGGGAATCTGTTGCTTACCAGAAGCTGCACCATCTCTTTCCTGAAGCACATACTTCTGTCGCAGCCTCTCTTCCACGTCCGACTCCATGCTATTCACAATCACTCGGAACTGAGCGAACGTCTCCTTGATCTGCCGAACATTAACGAGCTCAATGTCGTTTAACTCCCCGGCTAAGAATCGTTTCACTTGTTCACGGACATCTTGAATTTGTGACTCGGATAGCGGCTCGTAAGAGATTTGGCTACGGTTCGTGAGGGTGTCGTGCATGGCGAGTTCCTGGCGAAGAGTACGGATTTCTTTCTCGTGTTGTTTGCAAAGTCGCAGCGTATCAAAGTGCTCTGTTATGGCCGGTTCTGATGGTACGTTCATCATACGGTTACCGAAACGCAAGGTTGAGAGCTTTGAGAAGAACAACACAGAAAAGATGTCAATATTAGTCCGCATTGTGGAAAAGTGCCGGTATTGTAAGTTTTAGAGCAAGTTAACTCATCGTTAACTCCTTTTCAACAGCTGACAGTTATCAACGCCTATGACATTCAAACTGAAATCTGGCTCGCAGGTTGCTAAGACGTCGGTAGTTGTTTTAATACCCAGCTTCAAAAACTTGCAATATCATTGCCGCAAGAAAATGTTAAGTTAGGAAATTAATGTGTGAATGCAGGGAGGCCAAACTGGCAAACCACTAAAAGGGTATCTGAAGTCTAGCAGATCTGTCCCCCTTATGCAGGCGACAGCCATTCTACGAGAGCGCCGGTGCACCCCTAGAAGTCTGACGTTACTTCAATCTCTTACCCAAACCCATCCTCGGATACCCAGGGGCGGTCAGTCGGGCCGGGAGAAAAGGCGCGACAAAAGTTTGCCCTGGGTCTCCGAGGATGACCCAAACCTTTTAAGCCAAAGAAGGTCTCAGAGGGCAAACTTTAGCCCCCCCCCCCCCCCCCCAAAAAAAAAGTCTTGGCAACTCCCAATCACTTCAATATAAATAAAAAGTGATAAGCTCTAGAGAGATGGTAACAAACAAAGGTCAAAATCAAACTCAAATCGTGATAGAATTATCACGCAATATATTTAAAAAATTACCGTTTCCTCTATATGTACAGCCTCGCCCCAGATATTAGCTATCAACAGAGTGTTGCATCTTCCTCCAATGGAATCCTTTAACACGTGCGTAAGCTTGCTTTGCCTGAAAGGGACATGCTCTCGCCTCCTGTCACCTAACGCTATCACCGCTTGCTCCAGAAATGTGAGAGACTTGTTGATATACATGGCCTCTACCTGGGTTTCTCCCACAGAGAGCGTTTTACTAAGCCTCTCTGATCCGGCCAGGTCCACGAAGTTGAGTTTGGATGTGACATACTTGGTGTTGGATTCCACACGAGAATGTGACTCAATGTAGATGGTGAAGACACAGTGTGAACGAGAAGAACGCTTGTTAAGAGCATGTTGAGCGATGATCCGATTTGTCTCTCCCTAAAATAGTTTGAAGACTTATTAACTTCATTTCTGCAAGCATTAATCCTCGTCAGGGAAGGGACAGGGGTACATGCTAAGCCCCTACGAGAAAAGGCTGACATTTTGCACCTGCTTGGCTTCTTCCTGACACCAGCTACAGGCTTTATGTGGTCAACAATGACAATGTGTACTGCATTTCCTCGAGTACGGTATTTGTTCGATTAAACGCCGCGGCGTTTCTTAAATTTTCAGCCTTTCTGATGGGGCGTTCATTTAAGGGCGGCATTTATTCTAGGGCGACGTTTATTTCGAAATCATCTTTCTTACAGTGTTCTTAAATCACTGACAACAGTTACTGGAAATCGTTTGTAAATATTATGTAATATAAAAGTCTTAATGTCTCTCTTGTTTTGCTGAGATACAATTGCTAATGTCTTAATGGTGTAAATTACCAAGTTGTACCGAGTTCTTTCTTATTATTCTGGAATAGACGCCGCAGTCTTTCGATTAGGAGCGCCGTTTATTGGTAATTTTGCTTTCATCTGAGGGCGGCGTTTATTGGAGGGCGACGTTTAATCACCTTCACGGTAATCACCTCCAATAAGCTCAATGAGCTCCCTCTCCTGAATAAGAGCCAACAGTACCCACACAGATAGATAGTAGTATCTTACAGAAAATAACAAAAAAAAAAAAATGAATCATTGTGTAAAATAAATGCTGGGTGGATGGAGTGATGTTAACAACAGGGGCGGATCTAGGGGGAGGGTGCAGGGGGTGTGCACCCCCCCCGAGATGACCTGCGGTTTTCTAATACAACTGGTATTCTGCAAAAAAAAAAAACTATGTGGTTTATTGGTGTTGAAGTAGAGCAAGGGACGAGTGCACCCCCTCCTAAGAAAAATCCTTGATCCGCCCCTGAACAAACACTCCTCATATGGTAAGCCATAGGTCCTACAGTACAGTAAAGGGATGTGGTATTTGAGAAGTTCACTGAGAACCTTGTATAAAAATTGGATAATTGATGGCCAGTGTTATTTACTGGAAAACTTATAGATAGTAATAAAGTTTAGTTTCAGGAAACCTAAAATGAGGTTATTTAGTTCGGAATAGGGTGAAAAAGCTTCATCACACGCACATGACGACTGTTAACTATAAAAAATCTGTTCGGAGAAGCAAATATTTCCTAGAATTTTCTATTACTTGAGGACAGCTAAAAATTTCTAGCTGATTGTTCCGTTCACGTACAGCTTATCTAATAATTAAATTCCCTATGACTTTCTGAAGTTTTATTTTTTCACAGTTCACACCCCAGGCTAGGCTATTTCTTGTAGGAAAAAGGAAACCTAAAATTTTTGGATTCAAAAATGTGATGGAGAGATGAACAAAAAAAATTCTCTTTCGTAACGCGCCAAATTGTATCTAACATTTTTGGGAAGAAAACAATGAAGCCAGGTTTTGCAATTTCAAAAAGACTTAAGTTCCCCTAGGATGACTGAACAGATACAAATTGTATAGTGCCGCTTATAATACATTTGTTAAGGTCTTAAAGTACTCTGGATAATTATAAAAAAGCGCTTTCAATGCATTTGGGAGGAAACCATCGTTGGGTGCCCAGGGGGAGGGGGAGGGCAGGGGGTGGGAGGGGTACAGGAGGCAAGAGAGGAAAGGGTGAGAGGTGGGACATCTAAAAGGATGGGAAGTGGGAGAAAAGGGGGGAAATAATACAACAACACTTTTATCTTGTAATCAAAGGCTAAAGGGAAGAAGCCAAGTAAAACAGGGCAGGGTGCAAGTTACAGAAGGCAGGAGGTTTGGACTTCCCTGTCCCTCCTCCTAATGTTCAAGTAAACTGCAATGTGCTTTAACAAGCACAGAAACTGACTACATTGCAGTTAACTTGAACATTATCACCCACATTTCCAGACTGACTAACCCTGCTATTCAAAAGCTTCAAGGGGGGGGGGGATAACCCCTTACCTCCAGGGTGTATGCCAGATTCTTTTACTTTAGAAATGGGACAGTGGAGGTAGCCTGCATCACAGACATAATCTAGCCCCAGTAAGTAACATCTGCAAAGCAGCGCCAATATCCTTGTTCTGGCTTCCCAACAGAATCAACGAATTACCGGAAATGGTTTCAAATTACCCTTCAACCTTAATGATAAATTGACAATGGCTTTTTTGACAAGCCAATCATGGCAGGTACTTAAATACTGGTGCTGAAGTGGGGGCTGTGAACAAGGATTTTGGTGCTGTCTCACACAGATGCACTTAACAAGAACTTTAGTTCCACCTGTGGCACAGGCTACGAAGGTAGGAGATAGAAACGGATAGTATGCAGCTCTCTAGATCCTCTAAGTTCATCGAACATTCTATAGCGTGCAGCTCTATTGTGTTAGGGCTAGGCTAGGGTCCATTGTTACTGTTCTTTGTTTACTGTTTTCTCAGCAAATCCTGTGAGGTGTTGTAAGAGCTGGGTAGCAGGTGTGCATTCAATGACCAGGTAGCCAATTTATAAAAAATGTTACTTTCTTTAATGTCTATTACTGCAACTGTATGATATTACTTCAAGACTTGAAAATAGGGTTTTGGGGGTTAGTTTTTCGTGGGTCTTGTTTATCTAGCTTCTATCTTAAGAGTTTTTTTCGGTGATGGGTTTTGCCTCAAATGATCATCCTAATCATGAGTGACTCTCCCTTCGCTAATATACAGTGACCTGTGTAAAAGGGTTAACCCATTTTTTGGTTCCTCCTCTGTGTACCGAGGCACAGATTACGTACAACAAAATAAACAATACTACCAACAATAAAACCCCCAAGAGAACTCTATTATTTTGTTTGGTTGCATAGTTTCTTTTGTGATGACAGTTCTTGCAGAAAGACCCCATTTTTCAGGTGATAATTTTAAACTAATTGAAATCTGGGGATGAGGTTTACTGATCTTATGCTGGAGTCTGCTTTTGTTTTATGGGTGGTGTTAGGTCACGTGCTTCTTCCTCGTAGAAGTTAGTAGTGGTAGTAGTAGGAGTTAGAGACCCTTACGAGTTAAGTATTAGTTAGAGTCCCTTACCTCAAAAAGCAAATTAAGCGCCTCTTCTTCGCTATTCGCGTTACGAACACTGAGTCCTTTCACCCTTGTATATCCATCATCATCGTCAGTCACCGTCATGAGAGATGGGTCTGTTGTGATAGCACCCGGCAAAGTACATAACAAATCGAACATTCGCTCGTTGTAGATCTCTAGGTACGAGATGCGAACACTCACGGAATACTCGGGCCTCTCACGGATCTCCCTGTAAACCTGTTGAATTGCCCGTGGGATGATCCCGCGGTGTTGAAACTTTTCGGTAGATCCGGTCATGGTGAATGTCTTCCCTGATCCAGTTTGTCCGTAAGCCAAGATTGTGCCGTTGTAACCGTCCAAGGCTTGCGTCACGATATCTTTAGCGCATTCCTCGTAAACATCGCTCTGACTGGCGTTGTGCAAGACGCGATCCAGGTGAAAATTCCAGTCTAATACCTGGTTGTTAATGTAGCCTCTTCTGAGATCCTTCTTGCAGTGAATGTTCACGGACTTTCCATCCGGCAGGAGTTCGATCATGTCCTGCGCAAATCTCGCTGTTGGCCGAATTCTGGCGTACACTTTGACTCTTCCATTATCTTCTTGAAGCATGGTGCTTCTTGATAGCTTTACCACGACACGAAACCACAAGACTATTCACCAAACAAACTCTCTGTCTGATCTCCCTTGCTGCGGTTTGCCTTCTTAGCGCCACCTTGTTGTTACGGTAATCGATTCTTGTTGCTATGTGACTGAAGCGCATGTTCTTCCACAAAGAGTGCTGATATTTTATTCGCAGGCTCAGAGAAAACAAGATGGCGGACGAAGGTGGGGAGAATCTAGAACACGGATTACAGTTATTACAGAAATGCTCGAAACAGGACGCCGAGAAGGTCAGGAAATTAGAAAGAAATAATACAAGATTATATAGGGCTTCGTTAATACCAAGTAAATTATAACGTTGAGTTTGATTGGTCGAGATGATGACTGGCAAATTTTTGTTTAAGCTTTTTGATATGGTTGCGGAAGACGTCGATCATAACCTTTTCGAGGCACTCCTTTGTTTATCCGCACCCCTCGTATGGAAGGCATAATTTAATAATTTCTAGAAGGACTTTGTCGGAATCTTACATTTTTACTTCAATAAAGGGTTTCGGGATTGGCCTTTTACCCACAATGAGTCATCATCATAGGGACTTTTTAGCCTGTTTTACCGCATGGTCTGTGGGAATCGCTGATCTAGATGAAGATCTGTCGGAATCCTGCCCTCCATAAGGTGAGGCGAGATAAGAGAATTGTAGGAATCACAGTTCAAGAGATAAGGGACTGTCGGAATCATACCCTTATTTAAGTCAAAACATAAGGATTTGTGTGGGAAAATCTGCTAACCAAGGTAATTTAGCTTGAAATGATTTATTTCAATTTTAATACAAGTCTGTTACTGTCTTTAACCCTGGTTCAGGTAACTCATGACCTGTTGGACTGCATATGCAGTGGGAAGAACCTGAGATATCAGAGCTATGGGAAACTTTGGACCATTCAGGAGTGGAAAGTGTTACAAGAAAATGGGAAGGAAGAACTGAAAGGATTCATCACCAGAGGTCTCAACAAAGAACAGGTTTCTATAATTACGTACCGTTTTCTAATATCTATACATGTATTCTTTTAATTAGCCTGGGCCAGGCTCTCTGATAATAGGATGTTGCGAAAACAAAAATATCTCTGCACATTTATACTATCTTGGAACCTGAAAAAGGATATCTTTTCATCATCATCATCATAGTAATAATAATAATAAAAATAATATTAATAATAATTTTATTATTATTGATTATTTTAATACTGTGTACAGTAATTTGGATGTTGTAAGCTCCAACAAACATCCATAACAACTCCAAGGATGGCTCAAACCAAAACACCCTCTGTGAGGGGAGTATGTTTTTTTCACAGTGTTCACAGATAGGTACTTGACTGTGTATTTACAGATGATTTGAGTTCTTGTCAGGTTTTTTTAAACAGAACCGCATCCACATGTATCTTCGTAACGGAAATGCTTCTAATAAAAAGTGAGTGAACTTTTCTTCAGATCTCCAATGAACTTGACAGATATTCTCTTTCTGGAGAAGTTAAACAAGCTGTGCTAGATTGCCTGTGGCCTCGACAAGAAGAAGTGAGACAAAGCTTGGTACAAAATACAGCTATGATATCGAACGCTGTTTTGAAAGACTTTGATTGGAAAGTAAAGGTACGTATTGCTGGTTATTTTCAAACCAAAACAATGGCACAGTGAACAAAGGTCATGAAGATTATGCTGTTCTCCCCCAGGTGGGCACTCCTCAGAATTCTTGGTGGGGGTGTCCCAAAGAAAGGAGAACCCGGGGAAGCCATGATTTTAAATTTATTGTACCGAAAGGACATAAAGATATTTTTAGATTTTCTTTTTTTCCCAGGACAATAACTGAATGGAACAAACTTCCAGAAGAAACTGTTTCCAGCCAATCCCTCTGTATTTTTAAAAGCAAACTAATTTAGTTTTCTTTTTATCAGTGGTTTTTTTAATAGTTTTTAATAGTTTTTTAATAGTTTTTAATAGTTTTGTATATTCTGGTATAGTTTTATTTATTATTATCTTAGAGTTGGCGTGATGTCCCAAACGATTTTGCCGACATAACGATATTTAGATTTAGATTTAGATTTAGATTTAGACCAAAATGACACAAAAACCATACCAGTCGCTTTGGGGTAGCACATACCTATATGACTTATAGGTATGTGCGGGCTTTTTCCCCATGGCATTTTCTATGTATGCATTTTTATTCTTGTGAGATTGTTGAGCTTACCGGTAAATTTAATCGGTCAATTTTTCATCAGTTTAATTTTATTGTAAAGTACTCTTTATTGTTAATTTTCAACTCATAGATGACCATGTCCAGTGATAAGTTAGCTACCATAAGGCAGCCCACAGTTACTGTGAATTTTGATGTGGATGAGAGTGGCCAGGACAGACATATCTCAGTAGAACTTACAAATGATGAACTGAAACACCTTATATCGTCTTTAGAAGCAGCCAATAAGGTTGGTTCTAGAACTTAACATTTCTCTAAATGTTAAAAAAAAAAACAATGTATTTTGTGCTTTGTTTCTTGCTCTGAAGTACCATGATAGGTTTTGGTGATTTTTTAGGCAGAAGTTAGGCATCATCTCCACTGTTTATTTTCTTCTTTCTCTTTAAATCTAGGTTTCTCTTAAATGATTTTATATATTACTTAATGTTATAATTCATATTTCTGGGCAATCCATAATATTGACTAGTTTGGCTAATGGGAATGGCCTGTTCTAGGCTCTCAGGTAAGGACAAGCAAAATGAAAAGAGGAGACAAGAAAAGAAAATTGGCAAGAAATTACATGTGCTTTGCTTTAACAGGGTGCATTTCAAATAGAAAAGCAGGAGTGTCCAAGGCTTAAAATCTATTTTGTACCCAGAGCCTGGTGACCACTCTCTTTTTGGTCAAGAATGTGGACCCAGGGTTTTCATTAAGAATTCCAGTAGCTGGAGAAAGGTGTAACGTTGCAGGAGAGTATTTTTAAAAAGGCTCCACATCTGAGAAAAAAATAGTCATAGGCTATTGACCGTTTGCTGAATAATTCTTCATAGTAAACAGAGAATTCTCTGATCTCTGATACCTAAGGAACACCCTGTGGACCTCATCCTGATTCTTCGAACATGACACAAGGGGCCCCTGGGGATGAGGTTTGATTGTTACAATAATTGGAATTCATATTTACCAGTCTCAAGATGTTCATTGAATAACATTTTAATAAAAAAGGTATTATTGATTATTGTGTAGGACTTTTCAATGTTAGTGGGTCTATTCGTTATCTTTTCAAAGATTTTTCTTCTTTTTAATTGATTTTCTACAATACTGTTGTAAACTGTTATCCCTTACCCCGCAAAGTCAAAAGCTTTTGAAGTTATTTGAACTCATCACTCATAGGATTCATTTCAAGTATTTATGTTGATTTCTCTCTATCTCATAGGTTGTGATGCAGCTAAAGAAATAATATTCTATAGTGACATTTAATATTGTTTAAATTTCTTTCGAAGATTTTTTCTGCAAGGATTATTGAACTTCAACAGTTACTGATTATTAACTGATCTCATCATAAGCAACACTGGACGGTGTAAAATAATAAGGAAACTTTGTTACGTAGCTGGAAATTTTTTTCAACAGCACGCACTCTCACTGGTTACTTCAAGGTCACATGACATCTAACAATAAAACTGTTTTCCACCAAAATCTCTGAACAGGCAACATTGCAAAATCTATGATCATGTCCGAGGGTAACAGTGCACTGTTACCCACAAATGTTGACAGATGATATCCCGCCATTACAGCGAGGTTTAATGAATTTCAAGCTTCAAAATTTCCAGCTATATAACATCCCTCGGGACCAGTCTTTGAGTGTTTAATGACGCTAGGATTAAAATAAATAGTGAGGAGAGTTTTGAGGAAGCAAAGTGTTATATCAACTTAGATTAGCCTCCATAAAAGTAAATGGATAAGTAATTCCCAGGTTCTCTAGCCACCAATCAATTCATTGCTGAACTTGGATGAGATTTTTATCCACATTCAGAGATTTCAACCATCCCAATTTGTTCGGAAGTCTCCTGGGTTGCCTCCTGTTCTCCTGATTCTTATCACATTCTCCCAATCTATCATGAAATTCTGAAAACAAGGAGCAAAATTGCTTATCTTGAGTATTTTATTGTGATCTGAGTGTAAAACGCTCTGTCTTACATTTACCTATCCTATAATCATTGTCTCACCCAGACTCTCCATAATATTGAACACTGCCGCGGTGTCAAAATGCAAAATTTGCAAAATTGTGCTGGTGGGGATACCCCCAGACCCCTTTAGAGGTTCGCACCTAAGGTGCTTGTGTGAGCAACTTGGGCACTAAAAAATACTCCCCACTTTTTCTTCAAAAGGGGTTGGAATCTTTGCACATTTATCTCGTTTTTGACAATGTGCAAAGTCAGCAAGTGTGTTTGGTGTTTTGCTTCCTTGATAGAAACACTAGAGCTACATATTGTTGTTCGTTTTCATACTTCCTTAAATCAGTTTGTACAGTGATTTTGTAACAAAAATGATGTAATAGTATATGAATTTGATAACAAGTCTCGAGTACAATTTTCTAGATTGTGAAAGTGTCATATTTCCTGTCAAGCAGGAATAACCGGTATATCTGCTTGTACTGTAGTATCCTAGGTAGTGGTTCTTTGTGTTGTCACACAATGCTTCTCCTGGCAAACTGTGAGAAGGAGTATTGCGTGACAACATGACGGACGGCTATAAGGGAAACTTAACTACATTTACTGGCACAGTAGGGTAAACAATATGAAATAAAAATATAAGTGTATATCTTTGTATATTTGCAGTGAGACTTTCTTGTTTGGTTAGCCTTTTGTGCCTTTTGTATTGTGACAGTGTACAAAAAGAAGCATTGTATCTCATCAGGAGAAAATCATTCTGAGATGTCCCTCTTAATAAGTTTGTGTAATAGATGCCAAGTTAATCTTTATCGCTCCAAACACCTTTGCAAAAGGACGATGACTACTAGTAGTCTATAATGCACATTATATGGAAGTAAAAACTGGTAAACCTAAAAAGTGAAATGAAAAATGAAACCAAAAATTGCTAAGATAACTTGCATTCATTATACTTGAAGCAACTATAAGATAACCCTGCCTGCAGAGCCGTAGTTTTGTCGTTGTGACGGAGGCAAATTCAATGTGCCACAACAACAAGGAGAAGTTGAAAAGAAGTCAGTTGAGCGGTTTTGAACATAGAGAGTGGAGAAAAAAACCTCTCCAAATTGAATTGATTGCGGCATATTTGCCAGGAACAGGAAATTGGCTTGGAAAACAGCACCTAAAAGGGAATGTTTAATGAAAAAGAGCAACCCTTACATTTTTTAATGGTGAATAGTTTAATTTTGACAACACACTATTAAATGGGCCATGTCATGCTATTTGCTACCTTTTGAAAAAGCTCAAACATCTTCTGATCAATTGAATTCCAAAAATAATGGTCCAGTTTTGTTACTTACAACTAGGCATTGTAGATGTTTCCAGTTGTCTGTTGCTAAAGATGGCAAGGATGGATAAATAAATAAATATTGGGCTGACATTTTCAAGATTTAATGCCCACAAAAAGCACCAAAAATATGAATAGTGCACCCCAATGAAATTTGTTTCAGATATCTTCTTTTTAACCTTATAGGGGCATTTTGCACCCGAGTTAAGGCACTGATGTAAATAATGACTTTGGCAGAACTGGCCTAAAACAGCAATATCCCCTTCACATAGCCCCTTTAAGACCTAGGGTAGTCTTCCAGTACAGTCAGGGGTTTCATTAAGAATTGCAGTAGCAGGAGAATAGTGTAAAGTAACAGGAGAATATTTTGAAAGAGCGAAGCCCTTTCCCGGAAACAGCTTGAAAATGAGCCTGGGAATTTTGCGTTTTATTACCCTGCTGAGATGGCTTTTCCTACTGTCTGATAGCAAATTTTATTTCTCGTAGCTGCCGAACAAAAACACTGCATACCTCTTCACGGTTTCAAAACACTTTTTCTTCAAATTAACAGGCATATTGTTAAATTATGATCAACTTCTAACCCTGTTACACGCTCCTAGAGTTGTGATATGTGGCTCTATCTTATTACTAGTAAATACCAAACTTACCAAAAAGTGAAACTAAAATAATTCTCAATACGCTTTAATTTTAGGATGTTTTCAATAGTGAAAGCACAAGACTTGAAAACCTTTTCCCAACTCTGTCGGCCACACGTGCTATGCACTAGACAGAACACATTTACACAAATATTCGCTTTCAGCACAAAACTTTGCGTGTCCGGTTTAATAGACGATTTGTCGAGTATCGATGAATATTTATTCTTTGTTTCCTCTGAAGTTACAATTTATAATGGGACGTCTTAGAAGTCATCGTTAAAATAGAAAAATCTCAAAATTTGCATTTGCTTCATAGTAGTTTGACACTCTTTCTTGTATATACTGTAAACATCGCTAAATTTATTTCCATAACAGTTCATACAGAAATCGTTCTTTTCTGAGGCACTTGATTCTTATCGCTTAAACATTTCTTGTTGAAACTTTGCCACTATGATTTGATCATCATGTACTTTATTTTGTTCCACATTTTGTTTCATTAGTATTTATTCGTTAAATAATTTTTTGCATGCAAATAACAATACGTCAAGCATACAGTCAACTTCTCACGCTTCAGCAAACCATCAAATTTTTTACATGTCCCCTGTTAGTTTCGTTGGGCTTAAAACTGCTAGCATTTAAATAAGGTCTTTTATGTATTTGTTATTTATTTAGGAATGTAAAGCAAGTGGCTAAGCGCAAAAATTACCCATTTCTGGGAATGATAATTATATCCACATCTGATTCGTCTGATTAAAAAGTAGCCATGCTTCATTGAAATTTAGCTGGAGAATTATGCGTAGCAGATGGAGAATTCTCCAATCTCTGATGCTTAATGAAACCCCTGACAGTGTGTGTAAAAAAGAAAAGAAAAGGAAAAAACATATCGACTCTGGTGCCTGGACTCTCCGTCAAATTCCCAAAGACAGAAATTTGAAGGCAAAGAAAAACAAATACCCCACATATGCATATAGTCCTCTTCTTAACAAGGATAGGTGCAATATCAGCATGAATTCATGAAGAACATATTTTGGAACACTTTGCAGAATGAAGCATATTTGACAATTATTTGTGGGACTCTTCAAAGACTGAGGCACGTAAATTGTGATTTAATGAGGAGTAAAAAATGGTTCTGGGACTGCTGCGCTTTATCCCTGAGTTTCATTCAAGACAACTATGTGGCCACTAACGCAATCCACGTACACCAACGACACCTGAAGCTAAGGTAACTCCAAATCTCCAATGCTGCACAAAAAAAGGTCTTAGTCTTAAGCGGTCCCAGCTCACAGTATTAGCCCATTGCACAGGTAAATCCAAGATGTCTTTAAGTTCAAATCAAACGCAAATAATAATATACAATGTATTGCGTTCCTCTGACACTTCTATATTGTCGTGGATTTTGCACTTCGTGTAACGATCGAGGAACACTTGAAGATCCTTGACGCTCATCCCTTAAATTTTTCAGCGAACCGTTTGGCGATGAAAATGTTCGTATCTAGAAATCTTTCCACGCAATTTACGAGACAAGTCTCCGTTTTCCCATCCAGTTTACTGCCCGGTTTATCAACGCATTTTTCCCAGCACATGTCTGTGAAGGCATGAATCTGGCTATGAAATCTCTGCTTTTGATCTTCGGCAATCAGTTCCTCCTGAAGTTTCCGATCGATCTGGGAGTTATTTGATGCTCCTCCAAACGACATTTTGCTGTTAACTTTCTCAGGAAACTCTTCCCAATGTAAAAATTTTTCCACGTGCATAAATCAAAATGGCGGTTCTTACGTTGCGCTAGCCTGGTAACGAAAGTTGGTTTCAGGTCCCGCTCACTCTGTCACGGTTGGGCTTGGGCGCGAGCCGCAAGGACAATTGTGTCAATGTGTAGAAAAATATACTTATATTTCAATGATTTAAATAAAGCTTAGAGGGATGTTGACCCAAATGAGGAAAACAAGTGTGTAATGGTCCTCCTCATTTGAAATAAAAAGAATCAGGAGCCCATCAAATTTGATGGGCTCCTGAAAGAATCCAGAAACCTATATTTGAACGAGATTTATTTCAAATATCTCCCACTTTATGCCAATTTTACCTAACTAGACCACTCTTAATATAAGTAGCAATTTCTGAGAGTTTGTATAAGTAAACGTAAATATAAGCATCTATAAACTTTACGTACGTGTAGCGCTCACTTTGGTCTCAGGCAGACGCCCCACCCATTTTTTAAGGGAAAAGCCCTGGGGACGAGGTTGCTGTACACAGACGGAACCTAATCTCTTTGCAGTGGCAGATCCTGGGGTGGGCCCCGGGGGGGAGGCCCCCCCTTATTATTAGACTAAACTGAGGCCCAAAGGGCCGAAAAAATTTATTTGTTAACACCCGACCCCCCCCAACCTTATCTCAGGGTCTGGATGACCGGCCCCCACCCCTTATCTGAAGGCTTAGATCCGCCACTTCTTTGTTCAGGTTGAGATTACGTATGCGACGCAGGCCAGAATGGTATAGACTACAATAAAAGGGTTCATTACAAATTTCCTGCTATAAATGTATACCGGGCACTTAGTCCTAGCAGTCTATGGAGCTATTCTTCCCGTTACGTTCTGGGTCTTACCAATTTCAACGACACTGGCCCATTTTTCTAAAACGGGACCACCCAAGGTTAATTTTTTAAAAATTTTTTTTAGACAAGGGGGTCAAGTCCAATTTGGGACGTCCTAACGGTTTTCTTTCCCCGACAATTATCACCCGAAGTCGAAAGCTTACTCCAAGGCTCTGTTATGTAGGTAAAGTTGGCTATGATATAAATCTTTATTTCCAAAAGATCAGCGATGAATAAGCAAGTCTAACTAGACTGTCGGCAATTATCTTAACGGTTACGCTGAATAAACAAACGTACGAACATTAAAATTAATGGACAAACCAAAGTGATGAAGTCAGAAGAAATTATGAATTGTTACGTTGCTTAAGCAAGTCTAACTAGACTGTCGGCAATTATCTTAACGGTTACGCTGAATAAACAAACGAACGAACATTAAAATTAATGGACAATACAGAGTATTGTAAGACGATAAATTTTAATCGTTGCAGTAACGGATCAACAGAAACAGTTCTGTTCCTCACAGATCCAACGATATTCAACCCTCTAAACATACAAAACATACCTACTTCCATTAGCTCGAACAATTCGACAACACCTACGAACAACCATTTCAAACTTTGACCATAAAATGATGACCAAGGCCAAAATCGCTTTGGTTTTAACGAAGTTTCATCATTAGTAACAGTAAAATGCATGACAGGCCGAGTGGAGAATATCAGAAGCATATATGCTTCTGAGAATATACATTAATGTTTAAAGGAAGCAATGACAGTCGCCACTCCCTTCAGAAAAAATCGAAGAAGGGGCCCTTCTCTGATTTCTGAGGGGAGGAGGCGGCTGTACACAGGCTAAATGACGCCTTAGGTGGCCACAACCCTACAGTCGTTGTATGGTTGCAAACAATTTCACGAGAAGGGTGGAAAATACGCGCTACATAAAAATCTGATCTTACCGATGTTAAACCCTTCGCCAATGGTTTTTGTTTTCATCGTTTTTATGTACACTACTTTATTTTTCTAATATTTATTTTATGAGGAACTGTAAATGAAAAATTGCCGCGACAAGTTATCTTTTCGAAGTTTTCGGCGATGGCACTGACTATTTCAGATATTCTGCTTGTACGAAGTAAAAACTATCGGTCTTGTCTGCACAGCGAAGAGGCCTACTAGACATTGTATTCTCGCGGTTCTTTGTAACACTCAATGGCCCTCAACACAAACCGTAGCGGCCTCTTCAGTTTCCTCAACACATTTTAAAGACGCTTGAAGGTCTAACAAACATATAGCAATGTCCATTCCACCGCTGACCAATAGGATCGCCACTTCAGGAACCCGGATTATCCAGTGAAAAAATGCCACATTAACATCGCGTTATCAGAATAAATCTTGTCGCTTGGCAACCTTAACTGTCTGTTAAACAGTCAATCCCAGGAGACTCTTACTTGACTGAAAAAAAGGTTTAATATCCCCAGCGATTAAAAAGACGGAAGAGAGAACTTTGTAAGATGTTGTGCATTATGTTCCCTGCTAGCCTGAGTGAGAAATGATCATCCAGCCAATGACAAAATAAAACAGGCCTATCGGATACACTGCAAGGGCTTTTCTGTTAGTTGGTTGGCTGTCTCCAAGAAATTTCACAGAGGCTACAAGAAAAACACACACAGAAAGAAAAAAAAAGAATTAGGTTATGTTCGACTGACGTTATTCTGAAAAAGAAATACATTCTGGCTTATTCCGGAAAATTCTGTCTAAAAAAGAAAGAAAGGAAGGAACTGTTTTCAGGATAGGCATCGACATAGCCTGCGAAAACATCCGTTTCTCCTCGCTGTTCGCCGCTGGGGACGTTTCGCTCCTCCTCGTTCCTCCTCGCGAAACGTCCCCAGCGGCGAACAGCGAGGAGAAACGGATGTCTTCGCAGGCTAGCATCGACAATGCAAAAAAGTTGGAAGTTGGTGACAAGGAATCGTGGACTGCTATCTTATTTGTTGTAGCAAGAAATCTAGACGAAAATTCGTCCTAGGGAGATTATCGTATAGACGAAATTTCTTCATCCTGCGGTTAGGAGGGTTACATATCACAAGAGCGCAGGAAAGTAAATCGCCTCAAAACGAAACAATAATTTTTCACCACAATAACAATAAATTGTTCTTGTTACGTCATACTGCTTTATGTTATTGTACTCAGTCGACCATTGGCTTATGTTGAATTAGGGACAGGGGCAGGAGCCGATTACTTAAAAGTAATCGGCTCCTGGGACGGGCCATAAAAAAACTTATAGTACAAAAAAGATATTCGCGCAAGGGAAAATTAAATGACAAAAAAAATTCATGCACGCCAATCAACCCTAAAAATTATTCATGCTTTGGCCTAAAAAATTTCTTTCAAGGAATTTGATAACGAAAAAAATTCCTGCGGCTCTCCATAATCTCAACACTTAGAATAGCCTGTCTGCAGACGAAACTAAACTCTGGTTAGTTAGTTAACCAGAGTTTATTTTCGTCTGCGTGCTAACTACACTTAGAATAGGCGATGAATGTTTAGACCAAACGGCTTGTACTGTCACGCAATGAAAAACAAAAATGCAAACCATTCAATAAAGAAGGACTAGGATCTGGGAAATGAAAAAAGATAAACATACAAAAACCCTTGCCAAGAATCAGGTCTACAGGTCTATCAGGTTTAGGTTACCTAAATTTATAAAGCTTTGTATGGAAACGCCATGTTGGTGTCCCTTTCAGGAACACCAATATGGCCGCCGAAACATCTGTTTTCGAGTTTTCCTACTAATGCGTGAATTCTTCGCTTGAGGAACTCATAAAGATTACAGTAATATATATTCTGAGACAAGGAATGTTTAGATTGCGAAATCTCCCAAAATCGGTAATGTGTTTAACCCACATAAGGGCTTTCCCGGCCGCCAGCTAAATGCAGCGTCACGCAAAAGCCCGGAAATTCAAGCGTCCTCTCTCGCAAAACGAAGAATCCTTTCGAACCAAAAATTTGTTTATGTAAAGGTGTTTAGGTACTGTAATACCTCGTGAAAGTAGAAACTCAGAAGAATCGATAGTTTCTTAGTTTGATTCTTGGTGACGTCACGTGCAACCCAAGAATTGTAAACAAAGAATAGAGCCTTGCGTGACGACAATAAAAACGGCTGTATGAGGGTGACAAAGAAAATGATTACATTGACTCTAAAGTAGTATGAGTAGGAAACATTTCCGCGTTATGAAGGGCCTAACTGTTTTTTTTTCCTTTTTTTTTTCTTTTCAACTTCATATTTAAGAATTTTAAGAGGACAAAAGCGTTTTAGTATCAGTATTGTTTAAAACAACTTTTTAAATGTAAACTCAAATCCTTTTTAAAGTAGTAATTTTTATTGTTTGTTTGTTGTTTTTAGGAGAGTTTTCTTCATGGGGTTAACCTCTAGACTCTCCCTTTCAAATTCATGTAGTTATTATGAGTTTGAACAAAATTGTATGTTATGTTATGTTATGTTATGTAATACTGACGCAAACGCCAAGGTCGAGACCTTTTTGACTCTTTTAGCAACAAGCAACATCGAAATGATTTCCATTTAAATATTTCGCTTACAGTGTATTAGTTTTGCGAGTTTTTTTCCCTTGGTTTCTCTGGTAACTTCGGGTGCAAAATGCAAATTGTCTGCTTCAGATCTTCGCTTGCCACGTGTTAAATTATGCATAAAACAGAGAGTACAGTGAAAGAGTCACGGCCGGTTGATTCTGCAGTATACTGAAGAAGGATGTTATGAACGAGTTCGTTTGGAACTTGAACGTTAAATCCTACATTGATAGACATGTGTTCTAGAAGATTTTTGCCCACGTTTACGTTTTCCATCGCTCTGGGTTGTCTTTTCCTCGGAGGTTACTACTGGTTCCTTAAGGCAACTGTAAACGGCGGTTATACAGAATGGTCGGCTTGGAGCGACTGCTCTAAGGAGTGCGGTGAAGGGACCCAGAAACGACAGCGTTTGTGCGAGAACCCGCCGCCGGGGAGGTATGGTAAGGACTGTTATCGCTTCGGTCCAAGCGAGGAAGAGAAGCCTTGCTTCTTAAAAATCTGTCCGGTTGACGGAAGGTTCAGCGAGTGGACTGCATTTACTAAATGCGATAAAACGTGTGGCGGAGGAAAGCGCGTTCGAACGAGGGAGTGCAATGACCCACCACCTGTGTTCGGGGGGAAAAACTGCGAGGGTGAGACGAGACAAGAAGAAGCATGCAACACAGAGCCTTGTCCAGTTGTAGATGGTGGATTTTCGGCGTGGAGTGAGTACAGCGCTTGCTCGGTGACGTGCGGTAAAGGACAGAAGACACGGACTCGAAGCTGTACTAACCCAGCGCCGAGCAACGGTGGAAAGCCGTGTGATGGACCGGCGAGCGAGACGGCTGATTGCGATCAGGGTCCTTGCCCGAATCCTCCACAACCAAAACCTGCCGAAGAAGAGAAGAAAGCTGCCGCTCCTAATCTCCCGCAGCAAGCGGACGCAGCGAAAAAGCCAGAAGAAAAGAAACAATAACAACGAAACCATGACAATTGAACCGGGTTTTTAAAAAATGTGGGGATTAAAGACTTGTAGCTGATGGATCAATTCAGTAAAGTTGAACATGTGAGCAAAAATTGTCATTCTTTGAAAAATACCGCGAGAAGCCGACGACGAGGGAAACAAGCAAAGAATATGCGATGTCTTGAGGACAAAAGAATATAAACAAGTGGAATTTCTCACGCACAACGAACTACTGTTTACGCTAAAATAAGATTAAATAGATAGGCGAATTTTAAATCACTGTTTGTAAAGCATATTCAGACGTACCGTATATGATATTCAAACGTGTCAATTGTTATTGCCCGCAAAAGCACTTGTTAGCTATATCCACAATCACCCTACAACCAACTTTTCGGTGGACAAAATCGAAATGTAAAGGGTCGCCTACTGTTTATGAATTCAATAGAAAGTTTTGTATGTAATACGAAAAGGAAAAGAATAGCTAAATATTTTAGCTCACTACCGGAACTACTTCTCAAGGCTAGGAGAAAAAAAATCACGCCAACTTGATCCAGAAGGACCTGTTCACATGGAGGTGGGGAAGCCCAGATAGGTGAGGTAAACGCGATCAAATTTTAAAAATGAGAGATTGTACGGACAGACGGGTTGGGGTGCGCCACCTGCACGTAAACAGGCCCTAAATTGCCTCGAAGCCTCGATTTTACTCGAAGGACGGTGAGTAAGAGAATTATTCGTACTCACAACCAGGAGATAAAAATGAATGCAATGTGGAGTGAAGTACAATAACATCATTTATCTCCACAAAAAATTTTTTGGGAAGCTGAGGTTTAATTTCAGGGGAAGAATGTTTACAAGTCAGAACAGTTATACAACAAACTTTTCACCAGGGCTTCAATATTTAGAACATTAACAAGTCTAGGAAAAAATGACAACAACAATATTATCATTCGTAAACTTGTAGGTAAATAATGCGTTGCACTGATACCAAGTAGTCAATAAACAACAAGACCTTTTGGTTGTTTACTGTCTGTCAATTGAATATTTTTCCTGTTTCATTTTGATAAAAGGAATGGCTCAATCAAAATGCTGCTAGTTTAAGTTAAACTTTATAAGTAGTAGCAAAAGAACTGCTGATTTGTTAGGGGATGTTTACATGTCACCCGCTGTATTTGTTTCATGATATCACCACAAAATGTCATGCTGGTACGGGTCACACCAGCATAAGTTCACATCGGTTGTTGTACTGGAGTGTGAATTTCGCTTCGGCAGGAAATTTTGCAGTGGTATCAACCAATTGTTTTGGTGTGAAATCCATCTGCCTGTTGGCTGAAATGGGTAGCGCATACGTAGTTTTCATCAATTCAGGATGGCATCGTCACGTTGGCCATGAGACAAGGAAAAAACATGCAAACATGTAAACGCATCACAAAATCAAGAAAACATCCTGGTATGAAACTCGCACTGCTGCAGGTTTTCTCATGTAAACACGCCCTTAGTAAGAGTTGAATTTTAGCTCATGAAATTACTCCTTTCTGCAGACATATGGCTAGTGAGCCTTAAGCTGTTCTATTTAGTGTACAGCTTCCCCCTCCCTTCAGGAAAAATTCGGGCCCCTTTTTTGAAGGTTGGAGGAGGTGTACACAGGATAAGGTGAATCTTGAGCTCTACAAGTAACACTCGCAAATGTCATAAGAGGACTGTAATCTCCCTAGCCTACGATGTAGACATAATTTAACCTAGGTTGGTAACGTCTGCCAAGCAGTGCCAAGATCCCTGTTCCATGTTCACAATGGACTCAATGAATTACCAGTAGGATGCTTTCAGTTTCTTTTCATAACAGACCAATCACAGTGTGTACTCAAATCCTAGTACAGAGATGGATGCCCAGAACTAGATTTCTGTGTTGTTTCACAGACAGACTTAACCAGAGTTTAGTTTCATCTGTGGCACATGCTATAATTTCCCCAGCTTTATCACAAATTAGACAATACAGTGAATGATTTCAAATTTCCACATTACAGGCTTTGCAATAAGGTTTTAAGCAGGAGGCAAAAACTCTGTCCAGAGTAGGCAGAGATGGAAAAAACTAACGTCTTTGGTGGTGGTAGGGGGGAGGGGGGCATATGTTCAATGCAGTTAAACTGCAACAACAATTCAGTTGCTTAACTTACAACTTACACAGTACTCTGACTTACCAATTGTTGACCAAACAAATCCTAGTATGACCAGAATAAATCGAACAGCAAATAGGAGAGTAGACTGTTTAGCAATTAAGATAAGCCGGCATGCCGTCAGTGCTACATTTAGAGGTAAAATGCAATATCCAAGCACACAAATACTCTGGAAAAATGATCTGCAGTATCAAAGGGAAAATTATCATTGGATTAGCATAAATCAAGATACAGTAGAGTTCCACTTTCTAAAACCCTTATAAACTTCAATCAAAATTTAGCTTCAAGCACTGAAATGCCCAGGACTGAAACCTATTTAAAATATTTGCCAACAGAAAAAGTTGAGTTGTCAGGCTACAAATATTACCAACCATCATGTGCACAATGAACTCTCCCTTCCCAACCTTGACTTATTTTAAGACGGGTGTCCAAGACCTGACAAATCAATGTGAAGTTTTGACAAGCTAAGAAAACGTGTTCTTCAGCCTCAGCATGGGTATGTTGTGGCTCAATTTTGTTCTTGGTTTAAATTTTATTTTCCTTTGTCTTTGGGTACGATAATGAGTGATAATGAGTTTGAGATGAAGGAAAATACAATTTAAACCAAGGATAAAATTGCACCACAACAGATACACCCACTTTTTGGTCAACAACTCACATTGACTAGTTGATCATAATAAAAAATTGGAAGTTGACAGATAATTCAAAAAGTATATATTATCAATTCTTGATTTAGTATTAATGAAAAATCATTATTTTGTTGATCTGTATGACGAACACAACTAATTGGAAACTTGTTACAGAGCCCATTGCATCATCAATGACAGAATGTTTGCCTAATAGCAATCATTTTTCCTGTTAATCAACAAGTAGTTATATCATCAGGACACAACTTGTCCATCCCTTCTGATTGAACAACTTACTTATTTCTGACATCATATCTTGTGGACAGTATTGCACATGCCTGAATGGCTCACCAATACATCTTGCAATTATTAGTTAAGATTTGCATAGTATGGTTGAAATATAATACTGCACAATACTTACATTGTTCCACCCAATAGCTTTGAATTTACAGTGATGACTGCAGATCCTACCCACACCACCACAAAAACTTCCGCAAACTGTGGCCCGCCGTCATTGTTGCTGTCTACCACTTTGTGACCTTGTAACATCCTACAGATCAAAATCAACCCTGTGAGCATGCATTTATATATACCACACAGCCCTCTCAAAACATTTGGTTGTCTTGAGTAAACAATTGCTGCAACAGATCTTGTCAATATAAATCATGTTATTATTCCTTCAAAATATTTCCCCAATTATGATTGGCTAAAAGCACATGCATAATTCACAATAACCAGTTACTAATGACCAAATTTGGAAGAATTTTGTGTTTAATGAGGAAATGACGCCAAAAATGCAGCCTGCTACAGGTTAAGGCACCCTTACCGAGAAGACCTGGGGACGAGGTTGAGTTGTTTTGGTTGTGAAAAAAAAAAAAAAAAAAAAAAAAAACAGCGGACATTTCACTCGTTTCAAGAGTAAGAACTACAGCAGGAACTAGGTGAAATAATAGCTAAAAACATGAAAAAAACAGCAAGAAGACAACTCGGAGGGTGACATCTGCTATTTGGAGAATATTTGCGAAAACCTAAATGTACACTTTCGAAGATGACCTTAACATCGATGCAGGTAAGCATGTTTTAGCTATGTTTTTAAACTAGGAATTATTTTGAATGAATAGTAAAGCAATTAATGAATTCGGCTTTCGCAGGATATGAAGAATTACGCAGATCTCGCAAGGTGTTATCCACCTTGGCCTTTAGCCTCTGTGGATAACACCCTCCTCAATCTGTTTAATTCTTCACATCCTACTCAGCCTCATTCATTAATTGCTAAATAAATAAAATACCCATGTGCAGTAAGCAGCAAAGGTTTTGCTAACTAGCATTTGAGAAGCCGAGAGAGAGGAGCAAAGAAGTGAATGTAGATTCATTTTTTTAAAAAAATCTAAGTACTCTACTCCCAAAAGGAGTCTAACCAATGATCTTCTGGTTATAATGTTAGACCATATATTATATTGTGTGTTAAAAGCCTGTGCAAAAAGCAAATTATTAGCTGTTTTGGTGGCCATTTGTTACTATGGATACCACAACTTTTGGAAAATATGTTATTAGTATGGACAGCATTAATCACATCCCCAAAGAAGAAATTTAAATCATCAACATTTTATAGAACTGCAAAAGTGACATTTAAATGTAAAAAGCAATTGCAAACTAAAAGGCTTGATGATTATTTTAAATTTTTGAATATTTTATTTTATTTCCACTTTGTCAAATGAAACTGAGCCATAATCTACTGAAAATTTTTATTAAAAATAATATAAACAGTCTTGGACCCTCTACTAATCAACACCTTCAACACTTCACACGGGCAAATGCTTTTACTCCAACAGAAATGCTCACTCTCTTCACTCTACAATGTCCACATTATGCATTCAATGGTCACTTTATTATCCTTGTTCCCAAAGAAGAACCGACGTATTGTAGAGTCATTCAAATGTAAGATATGTCTCTTATGCCTTCTTAGGAATCTTTAAGCCTTAAAAATTATTTTAAGGCTTAAAAAAATGTTTGATATACAAGCTTTAGCTCATGAATCAAAAGATCATATGCACGCTACATCGTGGGATAAATTAAATTTATACCAGTTTAAGGCATTCTCACAATAATAATTAACGTGATGATAATATCAAACCCATGACATCAAATGTATACTTACATAGCTAATAAAACACAGAGGATTAAAGGACCCCAAAGATCCCCTGACGAGAGAAAATATACGGTCAGAATTCAATTAAAACAGAAGCTCTCCAATATAAGGTTTTAGACCCAACAGATTTGAATAATAGCTGTAAGCTTATTTCAACTTCTATCAAACAAACATGAGTAAGTGTAATCGAAAAAAACATTCTTACAGTCTCTCAATAAGCTCTTGCTTTGTCTTGGAAGAAGAACATGAAGAAATTTCTTTCCCACGGCTTTTAAATCTCGCTTCTATATCAGGAAGTATGAAATGATAGATTAAACAAATCAGAAATAAACATCAGTGTCTCGAAATCATAGGGGGTGATCACAGGCTAGAAACAGCGAAATACCGTTCAAATACAACTTACTAATGTTTCCAATACAGGCTCATCTAGTGTGCTAGGTCCTTCATCTTCTTCAGGGGCTCCGGGTACAGTAATATCCCCTTCAATCTCCACATTTACGCTCGTTGGAACAAAGCCCTGTTCCGACGCCATTTTGAATTTCTAACTTCCCCTGCGGGAAACTGCTGACAAGTAATTTCAGGCGGACGTCAACTTGAAAAAATTAGGTCCGAAATGCGTGCTTATTGGCGTTGACAATTAAAATTATATTTACAAACACACTGCAAATTTATGGCCTGCTTTTATGCCTTTATATATGTACTGTGCTCAAAGAAAACTTATTGACGCATACCGTAATTAAGAAAAACAGCATTTAATATCAGTGCCATGGTATACAAATAAAACTGCAGCAAAAAGGATTTTTGATGTGCCAGGACGTAATTCAGACGATAACTCTTCTAGGAACAAAGTTCCAGAGAGAATGTCTGCGTGAGAGATTTTACTTGCTATCAAAATCATGTGTCAGTTTCTCTTAAGGAAATTTAATAAAAAGCTCTCGAGGACCCCTATACGGATGGAAATTAACCTTCAAAAATGATGCAAAAAGCGCGGAAATCAAGCATTGTGACACAGGAGATCTTATAAGTTTAATAAAAATTTTAATTGAAAAGGAAATATTAGCTTTTTGGTTCGGGGGATGTTATAAGTTTAAATGTAAGTTTAAACTGACAAGGAATCGAAATTTTTCCCTGTTAGCAGAGGTCTCTGAATGCTGAAGGAACAAGAAAAAATTATTCTAGCAAAGAAAAAATTGGTAGCTTTGTTTTAAAAGACGGTCTCGTTTAATCGCACCGTTTACTCAGTTGAATCAATTTGGCCTTGACAAGTAAGCTGTCAAATTATAAAAGGAGTATGTTTTGTTTAGAGAAGTTATGAAAGCAAAAGAGGCCTTTAATTACGACCGGTGGTGTTGAAAATTATGGACTACAAAAAAAATTTCCACCATCGAGTTAGTGTTAGTGAGGAGAGGTGAGTTTGCACAAAAGTAAATTGTTCTCTACTAAAACGGTACAAAATACGACTCGGCTTTTTGAGATGACTGTTATCTTTGGATTGTAATCAGTTCTTGGCTTTGTGCAAAGCAACATTTTAGTGAAAATGAACTCAACAGCTGAATGCAATATCAACTCAACAGAGGGTTTTATTGACGGTAAGAAATGTACTACGCAAAGAACTCTCGTCATAATAAACTGCGCTCTGAACGCTCCACTTATCCTGATTTCTATTAGCGGTAACACATTGGTAGTGGCCGCCATGATAAAAACGCCACGCTTTCGATCATCTTCAATGGTGATGCTACTCAGTTTGGCTGTTTCGGATCTTCTTGTTGGGTTAATTTCCCAGCCATTTTTCGTTGCAAGTGAACTCACGAAGAATCCACTTCTCGAAAAGCTGTCCGAAATGATTGAGTTCATTCTTTGCGGGATCTCTATCTGCACAATGACAGCCATAAGCGTTGATCGATTTATGGCTGTCCAATACCCCATGCGATATCAGTCAGCCATTATAACAAGACCTCGGATAAAATATGCATCGATAACAGTCATATGGATCGTCAACGTTTCTTCTTTAGGCCTGTATCTGTGGCACTGGCCTACATATTTTGGAATAATGGCGGTATGCCTCTTTGCTTGCCTCACGCTTTCAACATTCTCGTACGTGAAAATTTACCTGATTGTTCGGCAGCATCTGATTCAGATCCGAGCTCAAGAAATGGCTGCGTCGCAAGGTATTAGTGAGGGACAGACCACAAATTTGCTGCGAAATAAAAGAAGTGCTATAAACACATTTATTTTTTACATTGTCATGATCCTATGCTACATTCCTATTCTCATATCAATAGGTCTTTCGAGCATTTCGTTTAAGGATTGGACAGAAGCATGGCATATAGCTGAGACAGCGGCGTTTTTCAATTCGTCTATAAATCCATTATTATATTGTTGGCGTCTGAAAGACCTTCGAGCGGCAGTTATGAAAGTCTCAAAAGAGCTTTTCTGTAAGAAAAAAGATGAAGGGTAATCTTTGTTCTCTAATTCTAAGGGGCGGATCCAGGATTTTTCTCAGGAGGGTTGCACCATTAAGGAATGGCGTGACTGACTTGTGACTTAAACAAATTTTAAAAGCAAATACGAAGAAGGCTTTTGACTAGGCAATAACATAATGTGAACTGCTGAGAATACATATCAAACATATCTGCATATGTTGCAAAATACCATTTGCATTAGAGAGCCGCAGGTCATCTCAGGAGGAGGGAGGTGCGCACCCACTGCACCCTCCCCCTAGATCCGCCCCTTCTAAGGCCCCGTCTATACGTATCCGGATGTTTTTGTGGACGTTTGAAAGCCTTCTGTCCGCGTGTGAAAGGCGTTTTCGAGCACCAAAAACGTAGGTTTCCGAAAATTCCGCCCCGAGGGTGGAGCTTTTTTTAAAACGTGGGCTCTCGTCAAGTTGTGGATGGACGAAAAGGAAGGTTCTCGAATACGACGAATCACGATGACATAGGTCAGACACTACTGCATTACGAATGCTCTGTGAGGGATGCTATCGTATTTCCTTAATCGTATTTCCACCGTTTTAGTGTTTTCGTGTGGAAGGGTGAAAACGATTCGAATACGCTAAGTGCGGAGAAAAATACCCCGTAAATCCCTTTACGTGTGAACGGGGCTAGAGAGCTAAAAATAAAAAATAAATAAAGTTGTTGTTAAGCACCTCATGACAACTATAACCAACCTTGTCCTACTTTTTATTTTCTAAAAACCACACCAAAGAAAACAATCAAAATACAATACACTTCTCGGTCTAGTTCAGTATCTTTTTGCCAGTTACAAGAAAACACACACTAGAAGAGTGGCTATAGAGAAGTGTGGAGAATATACGCCCTGGTATATCATGGTGTTAAGGATTTAACACCCTAAGCGAAGTTCCAATGTTCTATGTAGAAATTACTTATTCCGTTTCAGAGGAAAACCGACAGGAGATACAACAAACTCACAGCGATTAATCAGAGCTTGGTACGATTTATTCACAGCAAAGAGTGTATATATCGCCATTAAGCAACTAGTAAAATGCAAGGTTTAATGATAATAGCTTAATTACATCGGGATATAAATCTTTACACATTATAAACTCATCTTTAAAATCCCACGAATTAACTATTTTCAATTCCTCCCATACTGATTCACTTTAATTGCTCCCCCAAATTTTGCACCATTTACTATTTTAAATGCTCTTGAGAATATGCAGTGCTTGAAATGTTTGGAGGGCAAATAAAGTTTATTATGGGGGATTCAAAAATAGAAAATTAGCATATGTTCACTCAATATTCCTCTATTTGTGGTTATTACTTAATGTACAAAAAGGTGAGGTAACCTGGTCATTTCAGATAAGATTTTTTCGAAATTGCGTCGCAAGTAAATTGCACAATTTAAGGAAGAGCGACAACTGCTTACTCGGTAACTCACGAGATATAGTTGTCGCTACGAATCAAACTCTTTTTCAACAGCAAAATCAAATAAGACAAAAGAAAGAAATGGACTGGAAAATAGCCTTGCTGCGTTTAGGAACTAGTACTTATATGCTTCGTCTTTGGTATCAATCAAGAAAAGAACAGAAGTTGGCCAGTCTGCGGTAGATGGGATCGATTCGGGAAAAAAAAATCAAGTAAAGCCACGGTTGAATTCCGAGCTGTTCATGTATCGAATAGTATAGCTTTCTTTCAGTCTCAAAATTTAAACTTCGCTGGTAGAAACTCGGGGGAGAAACGCGCAGTGAAACCCAGATTTTACACAGAGGGTAAGAATACCACTTGATACACTCTCTCGGATAAGCAACCCGGAAACTGGCTACAAAGTAAGGTAGCGGACTTTTCGTGTTCAGATCTTTTCTGTGTCCGTGCACTTTACACAGGCAGGCTTCCGCGAGGCTAGGAGCTGATCTTGACTATATAGTTAAATCAGCATCTACTTTAAAAAGATGTTGATTTTTTCTCCTACTGTCATAAAAAATTCAATCAATCGCCTAATAAATCCCCGTAAACAAGTTGGGTTAACTCTTTAGGTTCTGCGGGATGAGCAAGGGAAAAAAAAGAGAAACAAGGAGAAAACTTAATACTTAAGGAAATACAGGAACCTAAAACACAACTTTGTGTAGCAACGGTTCAATACAGTCAATGTAATGATCCACAAATGTAAAGTCTGTACTATTTCTAGCGCTTTGACAACTAACTAAATTCAAAGCTGTACACAAGATAAACGACGGCAAGCGTTGGAGCTTCAACGATATGGTATACGATATAGCGTAAAGGAATCAAAGTATGACGAAAGACAACACACCCTCGCAGCAACTGAACACTTGGCAGTGATTTCGGTTGTTTCTCTCCCGCTGGCCTTTTTAACGCATGCGTACGAGGGGCATGCTACTACGGCACCACGTTGTTATTTCTGAATCGCACTCTGCGGTGGCAGAGTAATCTGTGTATCGGTGTTAGGCAATGCTCCAACGATGGCACTTAGCCGCGGTCCAAGACGCGCGTTTATGGTGGGTGGATGCCCTGGACGGACAACTCCATCAGGCAGGCGTATGTTGGCGGGAACGTGAAAGCGCAAGAGGGGCTGGGGCGGAGTGGGATTCGGGGCAGCAGCGGCGCCTGACGGAAGCTGCGTCTGTACATTGATGGTATTCTGCCCCAGTTGAAAACGCTGGTCAGGCTGCGACTGGGTCATATGTTGGATGAATCGCAGCTGGTTTTGTCGGCGAAGCTCCTCCTGCTGACGTTGATGGTGTTGCTGCAGCAAAGCGTCTCGTTGTTGCTGGTACATTTGTCTCTGTTGCCTGACCTGTCGAATGTGGTCTTCAATTTCCTGTACCTGTTGCATACGCTGGAGCTGTCGAATCTGCTGTATTTGCTGGAGCATCTCCGTGTTCAACTGCACCCGTGCCATAACTTGTTGTTGAGTTTGGGCGTGGTCCTGCAGTTGGTCTGTCATGCGAGCGGGAACTGACAAAAAATGAAAAGATTTCAAAACTTAGTATGGCAAACAGAGGAAGGACGATTTTTCGAACTGTTAATTGTCGAAGCTTCGCAACAGTTGATCGCACTGAAACAGAACGCATTTCCCTTCCCAAGCAAAACATTGCACATTTAGTTCCAGAGTATTCTGATACCACCATTTTGAGCGACTTGCGTTTCTCCATATCAGAAAATTAAAACATCATCAACAACAACAATAAATAATTACGAAGCTTAATTAAGCAACGACGACGACGACGACAAGAACGGCAAAAAACCTTTGCTGTCGTGGCATTCACTTTTTAAGAGACGCCTTCGCTTTGCGGTCACTATCATCACCACCATCACCGGTTGTTTCGATACAAGTTTATTCATTCGGGGTATAAACAGTTCCAAGTACTTGGCTTAAAGAACGAAGACATTCAGCCAAAATGTTTTTCTTGTTCACTCGCAAACTGTACTTGAAGGGAACAAAAAAAGTTTTGTGCAATTTCACTGCTGGTTTCCCTAAAAATATGGTCACTTCACAAATGTTGTCGAAACACTAATAAGGCAAGCACATCAACTCTAACACGGCTTTAAAACCTTGCACAAAAAGTGCTGACATCAGGCAAGAGACTAATACCAGAGAGACTCATACCAGTCGTGAATGACATCCGAACTGAGTAAAATTACTGAACTAACCAGTTTGTCCAGATTTTTCTGCCTCGTAGGCTTCCCAAGCCGCTTTCATTTCCTCTTCAGTCAACTCTTCAGACTCGATATTCTGCAGCAGAGAATCGTGCTCATGATACTTCACTATCCATTTGGGATGAAGCCTGTTGATCAGGTCCGCCAATATAGCATCCTGTGACAAGAATTGTTGGTTAGAACCAGTTCAAACGTCGAGCTTTTCATGTGCCGAACATAATACCTGTTTAGGTCGTCCCAAAGTTCGACGGTTGATTCGGAACTCGAACTTAATTGGTCGGGCTCAACTCATTTTTACGATGTACAATGATCCACAATGCTTAACAGTAAATATAAATTATAGTTATTTATGCATTAGATTGCGGAGGCACAATAAACGTTGTACGTTTGAAACGAAGTCGCTCCATAGTCGAAATTCCTATGTAAGCCACTCGCGCTTAATTCATGGGTCAACCCAAATTAAACATGTCGGACTTAACTAATTGAAACGGGATTGATGGTATTGGGTTCAGCACATGAAAAGTTTGACGTTTGAACTAGGCCTTAGTTAATTAGTAATGGTCCCCATCATTTAAGACGATGGGAGACCCTAGATCACTCCCCTCGTTACGGCCCTCGTCACACTAACCTGGAGTGGCACCTTTCTTGAATGGGGAGTGTGCTCTTCATACTCTGCGATCCTGCACACACAGGCATCGCGATTTGCCATCCTCGTTCAAAAATAGTACTGCCATATTTTAATATGACAGGGCCATTTTAATTAATATTAGTTTTACTGTTTTAATGAAAAGGGAGGAGAGAAGTTACATGCGTACAGCTCTACCTTCCAAGAGCCGGGGTTAATCTAGCCGGGTAGTAGCCTGAATTTCATCCGATTACTTCGAGTCGTTATTACTCCCTCAGTAACGTCTGAATCGACCGGCCGTTAATGCCGTCCAGTGACGTCACTACTCCTTGACCTTTGCTTTAATTCATGCAAAAAGTAAAACACGATTTTCAAGTGGCAAACCGAGAAATATGATTTGGAAATGTCTGCATGATACCGAACTGCTTTATTTTTTCTATCGTAATTCATGTTTAACGTTCAAACTATCAACTGCATGCAGTACAACTCTGAACTGGTTGTACTAAATTCTATAATCAAACTCGGTCGCAATCACGCAATGAAATAAACACACACGCGGAACACTTAGTTCAAAAACATGAATGATTTGTTTTAATTAAAAAGAAGCTATTTGATCCTTAACGAAGAAAAAAACAAGGAAACAAGAAAGAAAAGCTAACAGAATCATCATGACACTTAACGGTAAAAATAGCAAGAAGGTCGAATTATGACAGAAAACTTCGCGTAAACAAAAGCACCGGCCGCCGAAACCACAAAGCGGCTCTGAATGAAAAACCTACCGACTCTCTGCAATGATTCTTCATTCGCAGTTCAATTTAACATTTCAGTTTCGAAGACAAGAGCAATTTTGCTGTTTAAGATAAAGATTAAGCTTATCGAAATGTTTGAACTACACGAAAGAATGCCAGGGATGCGATCCGCTGAATACCAAGCGACAATCCCGCTGAAATTTTTCATAATTATACATAATTATGCGAATGTTTAGACAATCAACCAATCAAAATCACTACCCGGTTTTCGGGTAGTGAGTGAAGTCACTGGACGGCATTAACGGCCGGTCGATTCAGACGTTGTTGAGAGGAGAAAACGACTCGAAGCAATCGGATGAATTTCAGGCTAGCCGGGTAGAGCTTTAAAAAGACTTTTTTATACCCATCCGCGGATTCAGAAAAAAAATTTAAAAGGGAGGCTACACGGTCTTAATAGAACACAGCTCAATTTTATACAAATATCTTGGTTATAACAGACTTAAAAAGTGTCCCTAAATATTTTTTATTCGAAGGCAAAAAAACACATTAATAACAACAACGGGCTAAAGACGTACAGCCTTGCTCATTTTCAGCCATTTTTCTTTTGCTAGAAGTTTGTTCTGTACATAGAGGACTAACAGATACCTTAGGAAGAGGCAAAGTTGGTCGTTCTGTTTTCTCTTTTGTGGCCTCTGTTTCCTTTCCAGCTCCACTATCAGTTCCTACTCCCCCTTCGGCCTGGTTACTGGTTTCACTTGTTTTCTCAGTTTCTGTATCATTCTCTGCATTTGCTCCATTTTCAAGTTGTTGTTCATCCTTAGAATCTGTTTCCTTCCCAGCTCCTGTTCCAGCCCCGTTATCTGGTTCCTTTGCGGTTTCAGTTTCATTCCCGGCCGCTGCTTCTTTCTTGGCTTCCGATTCTTTGTCCTCGGCTGCCGATATTTTGTCCTCGGCTTCTGCTTTTTTGTCCTCGGATTCCGATGCTTTGCCCTCGTCAACCAAATCGGGAGTAAAAGTGTACAGTTCACGAAGATCTGCTGCGGTGAAATGACGCTCAATCTGCTGTTCATCGACTACTCGTCCGGCCATAGACAGTTTTGTCACCTGCAAAATGCCAATGATCGAAATAAACAAAGATGATTGACTTATCTCACCAAACGGATCTCGTGGTACTACATGCATTTACGAGGAGGTTAAATAATTACTCTAGTTCGAATTACAAACCTGTCTATCGTAGATTTTCTCTTCCATGGTCCCCTGTTAACATTAACACAAACGCATCAATCAGTGCTGTCATAATTAATCACAAAAAAAAAACATTAACACAAAACACATCAATCAGTATTGTCATAATTAATCACTTTCCCAGTGATCAATAAGTATTGTCATATTTTGCCTCCACTACTCAACCGGTACACACAAGACAACAATAGGGAGCTTTAGCATCGACGACGGCAACGGCAGCGAAAACGTCAGTTTTAAAATGAATTCCCGTTTTTTCAATCTTTGTCGCGTTTATTCCAATTTGCTGAAAATGGCAAGTGTAGGCGAATTTCCCTGGAGTTGATTTCTTGAGGACCGCACTCAAGTTTAGAGAGAGAAAAAGAGATTCGTCGTCGCTTGTTTACGTCCTCCATAAAACTTGCAATTAGGCATTTTCACGTCGTAGTCGTGCAAAGACGGAAAAGAAATGTACAAAAAAGCGTGAAAAAAGCGCACGTGCAGAGTTGTTGTTTTGCGTAATAAACCTATTGCTTTTTTGACGTCCTCGTCGCCGTCGCCGTCGTTGTTGTTAAAACTCCCTAATGTTCATATATGGGCGCGTGGGCCAGCCAAGCCACCGTGCCGTTTATTCAACATATATGCAGATATGTACAAATATCAAGTAATATCTATAAACGAAAGAACACACGAATAAAATAAAAGAGAGAAAAGCAACCTAACACGGTGAAGGCTGACCGTAGAATGCCTCACCTTCCTAACGACCACGAATTACAAACTCGAATCCCATGACTCACTGCGCACAAACACCCTCTCCAGACCTCTGATACGTGCCGGCAAAATAGTAATTTATGATAATACGGTGTAATCACAAATTACATAATTAATCACTTTCCCAGTGATCAATCAGTATACTATTGTCATAATTAATCACTTTCCCAGTGAGATGGTGGAGGAAAAAAAGTTCTCTTAGCGAGATTCCACCCAATCCCCTAACAGGAAGTAACCCGCACTAGTCTCCATATTAAGAAATATATTCCGGCCTTGCTCACCTGTGCTATAAATCTGTATACATACACAGCTTTAGTCTGTCCAAAGCGATACACTCTGAAGATAGACTGAACATCATGGGAGGGGTTCCAAGAAACGTCAAACACAATGACTCGATTGGCAGCCACGAGGTTGATTCCCAGTCCACCAGCCTTGGTTGAGATGAGAAACAATCGAGCACTGAAAGAAAGGACAACAAAAACAATCTAACGCATACACCTTATACTCGCTGTTGTATGTAACGTACTGTAACGTAACGTAACGTAACGTGACGTAACGTGACGTAATGTAATGTTTACTCAGGAAACATTTGAGAGCTCTCAAGACCTCATTTGAAAATATTGGTGCATGTCAGATGGAATTGGAATTTTGATATGCTGGCACGAAGAAAGACCTCTCTTAGATCGAGAATCAACAACAAACCCAACCCATATGGGCTTCGAACCCGGGTTGCACTAGTGGAAGGCGAGGCAATTTGTTTCGTGCAGGTTCTCAATGCATGCTTATTTACCAATGCATCGAAAAAGAGACGTAGTATTTGAACGAAAGTCTTTTCGCTGACGCTTCAAAACAGTGCAATGTAAATCGACAATCTGTTGGAGACCTCATAAGCTGTCAATCACATTTTTCTTTCCCTTCTTGTGAATCATACGCTGAGCTGTGCTTGACAGAAAATGTCGGCACCAACAGTCAGTAAATTTCCTCACAATCTGCTGCGGTGAGTAAACACAAGGAACTGAGGTAAAGGATTGAGGTGACGAATTCATACCAATCACTGTACTTTGTCAGCCTCCAGCTGGCGCCTTTGTTTACGGAAATGGGTGAAAGGTCTATCTTAAGAGCCCATGACTGTAAATATCGAGAATCGCTGGCCAGGCCAAAAAAATCGAAAACTCTGATAATTTGTCAGAAAAACCCCTTTGGGGAACTATCTTCGAAAAAAATATTTTTAACTTTCAAGAATCTATAGTGTTCGAGAAAATGAGGAAAAACGAAAATAGCGGTTTTTACCTAATTAATTATGCAAAAATTAGAGTAAAAATGGTCTACTTTATCGCGTCGGTACCGAGGCAAGATTCAAAGCTATAAAACAGAAATATTTTTGTTTAAAAGCATTTTATCTTTTCTTTCTACCCGTGGTATGTTTTAAACCATAAACACGATTTTGAATTTTTTACGGTTTTTTAAAAACTACCACCAAGCGCACTTTTTAAAATGGGTAAAAAATGAGCAACTTCAGAGGCAAAAAACTCACCTTGGTATGTGTGATACCTAGCCACAATGTATACTAGGACAAAGTTCAGCTCTTATATTAACAGAATATGAAATAAAAAATCTGGGCACTCCGCATTCGTCTTTACAAAATAAACAGTTTCGTGACCACCAGTGGCAAAAGGTCACAAATTTGCATAAGTCAAATTTGTAAAGAAATGTTGCGGCAGCCGGTTTTGTTTCAATTCAGGGTCAGTATGTGATGTTCGGAAACATCACGAAGCAAAAAAACGTTTTTTGATAAAGTTTATGTTAAAATATCAGAGTAATTAACCGTTCACAAAAAAATAAGTAAATAAATAAAAACGAACTCGAAGAAGCGTTATATAAAAGCGCCGGACTATTATGTAAACTATATCCCATGTCTCTGTTTTTCCTAACTTCCTTGTATTAGCATCCATCTGTATCATCTTAAATTCGCCTCTGGTATATCTAAAATAGGTAGGTATATTTTCCTTGAAATTTTATTTTGAAGGAGGTTTTTTGCGAACGGGATACACTTCGACTCGTGCGAGGAAGTCATAAACTAACAGTTAGAGTAACAATGTCACGCAACGACGTCTCGAGCAGCTCCGCCTTCTTTTATTGATTTTTTTCTCCTTATGAAATTTTATGGAAACTTTGTTTTGAACAAGCAATGCGTAGTTCGCAACATCATTTGTTTCTCGTCTTATTTTCTTTTCAGAAAGAAGGGATACTAATTTCGCATGCCTGTCAGTCACGCATTAAAAGTTAGCATTTAGCACAGCTAAGTCATCGTAGTTCATACGGTCCAGCGGTTTCTCTCCTCCGAAACGAATCCGAAACATCTTTCCCGCAAAAACTGCCCTTTTTAGGTCATCTCAGAGTTGTACCACCTGCCAAGGGGCGTTTTCCTTCAGATACAAAAGGATATTTGTTCAGTGATTTCAAAATATAATGTAGCAGCGCCTTAGTGTGTAAATGTATACGCGCAACTCATGAAACAAAGCAAGTTCCAACCGACGCCGCCGAAGAACTGGAAAAGGAGACTACAGTCGAACCTCCCGAAAGCGACCACCCAAAATGCGAAGACTTAGTGGTCGCTAACGGGAGGTGGTCTCTTACGAGAATCGAACCACGGGAGGTTTCTTTGAGAAGAAAACCGGACACATCTACTTTAACGAAGAGAATTTATTGCATGCAATGTCCAAGTTACGATATGTGCAGTTCCATGTTGATGTTGTTTCTACCACAAGGGATCGCTTACAAGAGTTTAAAAACAATGCAAAATCATTAAACCGTCAGCTCCAATTAGTGGTCGCTGGCGCTTGCAGGAGAGATTCCAGCTGGAAGACTTAAACTGGGTGGGTTTTGGCGTTTTGGATAGGTGGTCGCTTAAGGGAGGTAGTCGCACATGGAGGTTCAACTGTACTCCAACAGAGTAAATCCCTTTCACGACGATGCGACTAGGATTTGTCCATGGAAGATAAGACTCCTTGTTCACCTCTTTTGAGCTGCTCTAATCAACTCCCACCCATGTCGAGTGCTTGCAAAACGTAGCATCATCTTGAAAAGAGAAGTATTAGAAAGGTCATCCTTGACGCCCCTGGCATATCGCAGTATGCGGCAACGAACTTGTATCGACGTAAGTACCATTTACTAACCGGGCAATAAGGTGACGCAGAGTAAAAGCGTAACTTGACTACAATTCTCAGTTTACAACAGACCCGAGTTTTGTTCAAAGAAATGTCTGCTTTTGCTCAGGAGTATTAACGTCAGTTCCCGCAATGTCCCAGCTCGCGCCTTCACACCGGAACGTACGATCGAATTATTATTTAGTTGATAGCTACCCTTCTCTTCCTCTTCCCAACTAGGAAGATCGAAGGGCCTCTGCTCGCAGGGTAGTTGATAGCGACTAAGGAGCTAAATAACATAACGAGGTAGGTAAGTGGGATCCGCGATTTTATTTACGCCTAACCGTTTCCCAAAGTAAAGAATGAAAGAGCTTCAGACAAAAGGGAAAGAAGATCCCAGATCGAGGCCCTATGTGGCGAGTATGTTTGTTGTTTTAGGCTGATTCTGTGCTGAAGTCATTACTTACTGCCTTTACCCAGTCAAGAAATGTTCAGTGTAGAGTTACATGTGGGGTATGAGGAAGATATCATTTTATAAGGGAGCACTAACCAAAAATATCTTTTTGGGTGATGCATTTAAACTTGAAAAAGTTAGCCCATTTTTTTTTCAATTTTCAGTCCATGTCCACCCTGGCTATCAGTAGCAACAGACCGTGCCTAAATATAGTCTTACATAACAAAACTGGACCATTATTTTTGAACTGAATTGATGTGAAATGAAGACCATTTTAGGTTTTTAAAATGAACTAGCAAATCGCTTGGCATAGCCCCTTTAACTCTTTTTTTGACGGCCAATTTTAGTGGAAGAAAACCCAGCCTTTTTGGACCGGTTTTTAACCAGTTAGTAGCCTGGATAACAGACCTTATTTTTTTCGCGTTTTTGCAGGCGAGCGAAGGCAAGCGCGAAGTGAGTGAGAAGCGCCAGACAAGCGCGAGGGGAAGACGCAGAAAAAATAACGGCCTGTCCACATACCATTGTTTGTTGCATTCCGCCCCAGACCTACCCCTTAATGACGCGCTCCTCACGCTGTTCGAGCTTGCATTCGCTCTGGCTTTGGGCTTGCCTTCGCTCGCCTGAAAAACGCACGTCTGTTATACAGGCTAGCGGGAGCCGATTACTGAGGCTAGCCAGTTAGCATGATGTGGGAATGGCTGAAAAAGAGATTTGCAACACAAGACTGCTAAATTGGACGTACACTAATTTGGAAGCTTTTTTGGCGCATTCATAGAAGCCAAAATTTGGACGTCTCTTACGAACCTATATCGATCTTTCTCTCCGGCTCTCTTCTTTCCCTTTGCCTTTCTTCTTCTGTTGCTCCGGCAATGATCGTCTTCCCACAGTCTTTGTTTTGCAAGGAATTTTGGCTGGCTAACTTTTCAGGAAAGGGACATTTAATTAATCTGTAAAGAATAGAAGGTGAATAGAAAAATTGGAAGTAGGTTCGCTCACCGCAAATGTTGCTTTTTTGTGTGTGTGTAACTCTGTCAAGATACATGAAGATAGGTGAAAATTTGGTGAATGAGGTACCAGTGGAAAAATCCATCCTTGCTGATTTTGATCATTTCATCATCCTGGCGAATAAATGGAAAGCTAAGGTAAATGGGTTCATGAAGGATACCGTAAAATTCCGAAAATAAGTGCATCCTTGTATAAGCACCTTCAAATATAGGTCCCCAAACTTGTAACGCAAAAAACCGTCCGTTAAATCGCCCTCCATATATAAGCCCCCGGGGCTTGTACTTGAAATTGCCCTCAAATACAAGGTAAAACAAAGCAAAAACGGTAAATTTCCTTCCAACTATAAGGTTAGCCCAATCGATTTTGAAACACAAAATTCCCTCCATAGATAAGCCCCTCTGAATATAGGCCCTCCTAAAATAAGCCCCTCAAAAAGGGCCTTTGAAAAATATAAGCCCCGGGGTTTATTTTCGGAATTTTACGATATTCTTGGTTCAAAAAAAAAAAAAAAAAAAAAAAACCAAAACGACCCCAGTGCAGTACTCCCTCCATCTGATTTATTTTTTCTATTGAGCGCTCAATGAAGGTTTCAGCTAATCAATGGCACAATTACGGGTCGGTCCACTTGGCGATCTTTGACCATCTTTGGGTGTTCGAAATCATGTCTGGACTTAATAGTGTTGAGCGCACGAACAGTGAAGAGGCAGACAGAGGAGGTGGAAGAATTTCAGGAAAGAGAGAAAAGGGGGCAATGATTACTTTAATCTTGTCTTTACTTACGTTATTTTTAATAAGCGAGACTTGGCAATTTCACCAAAATATAACTTTGAAAAACTTCTGAGAAAATTAACTATTTCGGATTTTTATTGATTGAAAACTTAGGGTCTGATGTATAGTGTTAATGGCAAATCCTCTAAATGCCTTGATGAATGAACTATCGGTACCATAAAAGCCTCCAAGAAAGATGTATGGCTACGAAACTCATTCAGGTGAATTAAGTAAAGTTAAGTCATCTAACATGAATAATATTTCTTTACACACTTCATATGCTCACATTTTTTTTATGGTCCCGGTAAAAATAAAGTGTGATTGTGCTGAGTTTGACAACGGTCACGCAATTGCAGAATACAGTACTCCAACACCCGAAAACAATTTGTGAGCAACCTTAATTTTGTAATGTACAATTAAGAAGAGCTAACATACTAATTACAAAACATTTAACATTATTAGCTGTTTTTTTGGTTATGCTATTCTTAAGCCTCAAATATTGCGTGATGCTGACAGTTACGATAGGAATATGCAGATGCATTATGCAAATTTGCCACATTGTGTCACAAACCTTCGCAGCTATTTGTTATCAGGGATATCAATTTTTCTGATCCTTTACTTAATTTTAGCTTCATTTAAAGGCGCTTTCATCCTTTCTCCTACGTTTCGAATATACCATGAACCGAAACTAGAAAGAGAAGTCAGGCGGCATCATTTCTCTACAAATTTGACTTATGCAAATTTGTGACCTTTTGCCACTGGTGGTCACGAAACTGTTTATTTTGTAAAGGCGAATCTGGAGTACCCAGATTTTTTATTTCATATTCTGTTAATATAAGAGCTGAAGGTTGTCCTAGTATACATTTTGGCTAGGTATCACACATACCAAGCTGAGTTTTTTGCCTCTGAAGTTGCTCATTTGTCACCCATTTTAAAAAGTGCGCTTGGTGGTAGTTTTTAAAAAACCGTAAAAAATTCAAAATCGTGTTTATGGCTTAAAACATACCACGGATAGAAAGAAAAGATAAAATGCTTTTAAACAAAAATATTTCTGTTTTATAGCTTTGAATCTTGCCTCGGTACCGACGCGATAAAGTAGACCATTTTTACTCTAATTTTTGTATAATTAATTAGGTAAAAACCGCTATTTTCGTTTTTCCTCACTTTCTCGAACACTATAGATTCTTGAAAGTTAAAAATATTTTTTTCGAAGATAGTTCCCCAAAGGGGTTTTTCTGACAAATTATCAGAATTTTCGATTTTTTGGGCCTGGCCAGCGATTCTCGATATTTACAGTCATGGGCTCTTAACTTGTCGTTTTATCAGGGGCACCCAACGACTGTTTTCTGTAAAATTTCTGTTTGGAGAAGCAAATATTGCCTAGAATATTGTATTACTTGGGGACAGCTAAAAATTTCTAGATGACCGTTCCAATCAAGTTCAATTTTCGAGGCCTACGTAATAAATTCCCTAGGATTTTCGGAAGTTTAATTTTTCACATTTTACTCCCTATGTTAGGCTAGTTTTCGCAGAATAAAGAGAACCTAAAATTTTCGGATTCACAAATCTGATGGAGAGAGGAATAAGAACAATTCTCGCTTTCGTAAAACGTTAAATTGCGTATAAAATTTTCGGGAAAATAATTTCGAAAAGACTCAAGTTCTCCTATAGGATGACCGAACAGATACACATTTTATAGCGCCGCTTAGAATGCATTTCAAGAGATATAAAAGTACTCTGGATATCCTAAAAAGAGTTTTCATGTTTTTTAGGAGGAAACTGTCGGTGGGTGCCCTGTTTTATATTAAGGCTACATTCACACGGCACCAGAAGAATCTTCAACCGGTTGGAAATTCGTGCGTTCACATGGAACCACATTTAGACGCCTGACCGTTCAGATATTCGCACGCAAAAATCGAATTTTTCTTCGCCGGTACGGTCGAAAACTTGACCGGCGCGTTTTGAACACCATAACCGTCTTAACGTTCACACGAAGTAGCGCTCTGCGCATGGGCAGATGGTAAAACCACTGAAAAAAGTAAAAATTCCAACTGGCTCGTAAGTTCCGTGTAAACAGAACCAATATATTGAACGGTTCCATGTGAGTGAAGTCTCCGGTCAAATTTTGGGATCAATTTAGGTTTCTGGGAAACTGTCCGCCTACCCCTCTCCTAAGCCATCATTTTGCCCCAAGTGAACAGTAAGTGTTTAAAATAGGGACCTTAAGATCCGACGAGGGCGACGGCAGCGAAAACGTCGCTGAAAAAGTGAATTCGCGTTCTTTCAATCTTCATCGCGATTACTCCAAGTCACTAACTTTGTCAAATGTAGGTGAACCCTCCTAAAATTGAATTCCTAAGAGCCATATTCAAGTTCAGAAATAGAGAAGAAATTTCGTCCTCGCTTGTGTACTTCCTCTGTAAAGCGTGAAATTAGGCATTTCCACGTCGTAGTCGTGCAGTAACGGCAAAGAAATGTACAAAAAAGCATGATGCACGTGCAAAATTGTTGTTTTGGTTATTAAACCTATTGCTTTTTTGACGTCCTTGTTGCCGTCGCCGTCGTCGGATCTTAAGGCCCCTAATGTTGGCCTAAGGGAGGGGTAAGTGAGCAGTTTCCCAGAAACCTACTAAATTGATCCAAATTTTTCATCCAGTCGACAATTCGTCCAGTGCCATGTGAACGTTACTTAACACTTACGTTTTGTTGTCTTCATCGTTGAAAATGTCTGCCCAACGTTGCCTCATAGTCGCACTGGTAGAACCATCCATACGAAAGTAGTCACAGCCACGGCACCAATTCTCCCTGTCACCACCTATGTCTCCACCACCCAGCACTCTCTCGATCAGATCGAGCGTCACAAGACTGTGGCTAAACACCAACACTTTGTCGCCCACAGCTTCTGCATCGGCTAGTATTTCCATCAGAAGCACCATCTTCCCACTCAGTTCTACGTTGAACTCATCCGCTTCCGTGAGAAACTCGTCATACCACTCTTTCTCGACTTCAAAATCTTTGAAGTTTGTACCGGATCGTGTGCTGCCAACACCGTCAAGATCACTGTTGTTTGAGCTGTTTCTCGACAGCCTTCCATTGCTCTTCGTTTCCTCGTCCTCTTTGATGTTACTCTTACTTGAATGAGCTTGTTTGTCACGGCGATTTCCTCGAGACGTACTTGCACCGTCATTAACTGACACAACAGTGACGTCCTCGCCATCAATATTCACAGTAGATGGACTGGCCTTACTCGATGACTTGGCGCTTCTCACGATAGCTGCAGCTCTACTCCGTGACGACTGCGGAAGAACTTCCTCCTCACTCTCATCATCATCATCTTCGTTTTCCTCCTCGCTCGATACTTTCTTTCCTCTTCTACCTCCACGCGTCTTCCGTCCTCTTGCATCTTCACTGCCTGATGAAGACAAAACTTCTTCCACCGAGGTAGTGGATTGCTCACTTTCTGACTGTTCTTCTTCTTCTTCCTCTTCGTCACTGTGCACTACAAAGTCATCCATGCTATCGGTGTCAGCGAATGTCTCCGGTCGCCGCAGCGCTTCAAGCTTGAGACACCAGGGGTGAGTCCAGATCCGCATCAGAGCTTGGTAATCCGAGAACAGAGAAACTCCCGCTGTAAAACAATTTTCCATAAGGTAATCAATAACGGCAAAGGACTGAGCTGAGTCCAATTCGGTCTGCAATAATAGGAGTGATTAAACCCGTCCGTTTAATCAGGAGTATGATTGCAGGTCCAATTGGACGACACGAAGTTCTGTTGCTAAGCCAATCAGATTTGAGAATATTGTTACAATCATTATTATGATTGAAAAAAATAGCATCAAGTATCGATTCACAAAATGAAAATAGTATTTTCTACTGATCTAAAACGGTACGCTTCCCTCGTATACTAAAAATGCATCAACTCGTACTAGAAAGCAGGATATTGTGTAAAATGGATTTAAACGCCTTCAAAAACAAACAACCAAGGAAACAATCATCAGCGTTTTACACATCATACAAGGAAAGCTTACAACTTGCCATGTTCCTTACTTAATTTGTGTTCAGAAGAATTTTTGTTGCAAGAAAGTAAATTATCTACAAACTAGAGATTAACCATGCTGATGGCTTCACGACAAACAAATATTTACCCTGACCATTACATACAATATTACAAACAATAATGATGAACTTTGATTGAAAAGCTGTTAGGACGAACAGCTTCTAAAATCCCCAACTGTGATCCATCTTAGCCTTCCTCAATTTTCGCTATTCTTGCTCTGTGTTTACCGTGTTATGTAAACCTTTCATTAAAAAAAAAATTGACATTGGTAACCAACAACTCGTAGGGTCAGTTATTTAAATAAACTCTAACTCAGGCTGCGGTTTAAGAAATCACGGGACCTCCAGATATCTTTCTCAGTGTGTTAATCTAAGAAAATAAGTGCTTCTCCAGTCTACGCTACATGCTTTATTGAGATTGTTCGCAATGAATTGTAGATAAAAGCGTTGGGCAAATTGAAAATGGCTTAAAACGCGATTTTGTTCAACACGGGGTCCAGTTTAAATAACTGACCAGTACGTTTTATTGTGGACCACCAAGTTAAGAATCCTAACGGGTCGAAGGTAATTCCAGTTGGCTATTTACAAGCGCGAACGAGGAGTTGAAATCAGGAATACCGAGAACAACAATCCCACAATCCCTCAGGGCAAGGAATGAAGACGGCTCACCAAGGGACCACTAGATTACAATTCCAGCGCTCTAACCACTCAGCCATGATGCTTCAATTTTGAAGCAGTTATTTACACAATTATCATTTGGTCATTTAGATGGTCAGGTCTTAGTGGCTAAATTTGGCTAAATTTCGTGACAAGGCTCGACTTAAGGCTCACGAAAAATCATTCCTACCTTTCTTGCTGAAGTCTCCTTCTTGGAAGATAAAAGTGTTGAGAAAATGTCGGTACAACTTCTCTTGCAACGCAGACACCCGAACTTTGATCACGTACTCATGTTTACGAGGAAGAAAGGGAACTAACACAGAGTAATCTCTCCTCTGACAAGAATAAATAAAAAGCAAAATAAGGGAATGGACCACGCGATCTAACTGCACAGGTGGCCAACAAGACTACGGAGTACTAAGTTAAAGCACATTTGTTTTGAAAAGCATATCAGGTTTGAAAGAAAGTCTTGAAGTAGGCGTCTTTTTACTATTAAAATAGGCCATTTCCGAGTTGCTCCAAGGCAAGGCAGGTAAAAGATGGGACGCGAGAATATCCATGTACTATTCCACCCAACCCACTGTTAGGGTCTGACAGTTTGTAAACTTGCGATTAATTTTAAAACACTGGACTTTTTAGCAAGACTGTTCACAGATGGCGACCATCTTGGTTTTAAATGTACCGAGTATCAAATCTACTTTGGGGGCGGGGACCAGTTTGGCAGGAGGCAAGAAAAATAGCCTCCCTTTCCCCACCGCTAAAACCCAGGGCGTATGCCCCTCGGGACATTTAAGATCGTCGGGATCGAGTACCTACCCTTACGGGCGGCCATCTTGGTTTTGAATGTACCGAGTCTCGCCTGGGGATGAGTATCAAATCTACTTTGGGGGCGAGGACCAGTTTGGCAGGAGGCAAGAAAGATAGCCTCCCTTTCCCCACCGCTAAAACCCAGGGCGTATGCCCCTCGGGACATTTAAGATCGTCGGGATCGAGTACCTACCCTTACGGGCGGCCATCTTGGTTTTGAATGTACCGAGTCTCGCCTAGGGATGAGTATCAAATCTACTTTGGGGGCGAGGACCAGTTTGGCAGGAGGCAAGAAAAAAAGCCTCCCTTTCCCCACCGCTAAAACCCAAAGGGTCTGCCCCTTCGGGACATTTAAGAGCGCCATGTCATACAAATAATGCTGTTTAGGTCAATTCTGTTCAGGAGTCGTTACTTAGTGTCTTTACCCATACACAAAATGCTCCTGTAGAGTTATGAAGAAGACATCAAACAAATTTCACCAGGGAGCACCAACCATAATCAACCATAATCACTTTTAAGGTGATTTTTGAAGGCATAGTTTTAAAACTTGAAAAAGATGAATTTATGTCCATCCTTGCTATCCATTACAACAGACGACAAGAAAGAGTTTCAATGCCTAGTTGCAGTCTTAAATAATAAAGCTGAACCATTATTTTTGGATTTTAATTGACGCGAAGCAAAGTCTTAGCTTTTTAAAAAGAAGGCAAATAGCATGAGATAGCCTCTTTAAAACTAAGAAGCTTCCGCCCCCCCCTCCAAAACGCAAAATCTTAAACGCTCGATCTCGACTATCTTAGAAAATAATAGGGGACTGTGAACAATCTATTTTAGCATCCTACATTTATTTATTTGAAGGTGCAATACCTATTTGAGGGGAGCGTGAAGTTAAAGGCAGCACTTCATCAAAGTCACCAGCATGATGACAGATAGAAAGTCTCAAAATTCATTATACATGAGCAACTCAGGATATTTAACCGTACTTTGATCTATCGAATAAAGCGTTCAGGTAATCCTAATACTAACCTGTACACATCCTTCCAACATCTTGTGGAGCACATGACATCGCTGTTTCATAAGCTGAACGTCCAGTGCAGTGCTGTCTGCACACTGACCATTTTCAATAGGGTTTACAAAGGTGTTAGTGAACTCTTTCCGCGTCCCAAGAAGATTGGGCTTGACAAAACTCACCATGCAGTGGTCTGAGAAAAAATTGGACGATTATGAACAAAAAATATTTTTGGTATTTTCTCAGTGTGAAAAAATGGTCCTATTCTTTACAAGGTACAATATAGCCTCCCACGCAGGCGTTTTTAGGGGAGCTCGTATTTCTTCCCTCCCCACAGGGAGGGAAGAAATACGAGCTCTCCTAAAAACGCCTGCGTGGGAGGCTAGGTACAATAATGATGGTTTTTTTTTATGTTAATGGTTTTTGAGGACGTCCAGTAGTTATTTCAAATCCATAAAAAAGTAATACTAAGATAGTGTTCATTATCAAGTTGTGTACAAATCATGCTTCCTTGGTTTGATTGTTGGACTGCCTGTGAGGGCAACGTCGAATCAAGAAATGAGAAGCAACACTCTTTTTATGTCAAAAAAAGACAAAATGGCGGACGGCACTCCTAGATGGGTTTGCATGTCCTATTCCCTATCCCATTCCACAGGTTAGGAGTAGATATTCACTCAAGCCGGTAAAAAGTGTATTTTTAATCTATACTTCCCAAAATAATAAACCACTGCATCACACAGTTAGCAGCCCAATGAACCCCCACTATGGGGGTCTTGTCAAGTACAAAACTAGGCTTGATAACACTATCTTGGGCTAGCAAAAATGCTGAACGTGGGCGGCTTAGAAACTACTGAAAAACAACTGAATTCAGTCCCAGGTAACCATTCCTCATGACGAACACCTTCTAAATGTAGTCCACAAATAAGGTCCATCAACGCTTACTATATGTGTTAGCAAAGTGGCGAGGTATTCAAGCAAAACGAAAAAAATTAAACATACATTCAATGAGATTGTTCTGTAGAGGCGTTCCGGTGAGCACAATGCGTCTTTTAGTCTTGATGCCATTCAGTGCCTTGGAGATTGCACTTCCATCGTTACGTAGGATGTGACCCTCATCACAAATCACCAAATCAGGACCTTCAAAAAATGCTCAAATAATTCAGCAGTTGATCCAAAACGAATGCCCTTCACCAGAAAGAGAACCAATACAGCCTTAAAGGGGCGTTCAGAACCCTCCAACACTATGGTTCAGTCATTAATTTTTGAATAAAGTCTAACTAAGACCACGGTTTAGTAAATCTTCAGACCTCCAGATCTCTTCCCTTGTGGGTTATTTTAAGTGGATAAGTACCTTTCTAGTCTACGTTGTATGTTTTTATGAAACTGTTCATGATTAACAGTGTTAAAATAAAAGTGTTAGCCAAGATGAAAATGTCGTACAGTGTAGAACAAGGTTTTGTTAAACACTAAACTCTGTTTAAATAACCGGCCCCATATCTTCATTCACTACCCCCGTTTACTTGTGCCATTTTTCACGGGGTCTTTGACTCTCGTTCCTCTTTCTTTGCTCCTAAGCCGCACGGAAACGCTTGCTACGCAAGCTACCACCCCCCAGCAGTGATCACACTCAGCAGCCACAGCCAAAACCCCAAGCACCACTGACTGAGGCTCGGCAACAAGCTAAATTCTTAAAATTTCTTTCTTGAATGCCGGTTTTGACAACATAAACCTGATTTATTTCACTTTTAGACTTTTTTGGACTGTCACTTGGGTGAAAATATCTAGCCTTCGTATAAAGGTTTAACACGTTTTACCGGGTTCACTTGCACATTCCTAAAAACCAAAATTTTGTTTACACCTTTGCTTAACCCTGGGGTAAAGTTAAAAATCTTTCGAAAAACCTGTGCCATTAGCTTAATGGTCTCTATTATGGTGGTGATGTTTTCGTAAACAAAAAACCTTATTCCACTAATATAAGGTGTACATATGGTAAAATATGACCAATCTGAGCTACCTAAAGTGTGATGCAAAAAATGTAGCAATAAATCTTCAAGTCTACTAAACAAGGGAAAATAAATAATTATTGAACTTTTCTCACCAGGGTCAACCAGAGCTTCTTGGAAAATTTTCTTCTGATGTTTGCTCCTGACTCGATAGCATTGTGAGAGATTACGGTACATTGAGTACCCCACAATCATCACCCCACCATACCTAGACCAGTGCTTCAGCATGTCAGCTCTGCGCCAATTGTTGCCACCTACATCCTGCAAAATGAAAACCTAAAAGGAAGGAGATTTCAAATAAAAAGTTATGACATGAAAACCTTGCATTTATGTGAAGCACTAAACATGTTATAATGTAGGGTATACCTTGGGACCCCCTTTGCTGTGAATTGGATGTAGATTTATGGGAGTGTATTTTACTGTGCTATATTCTTTCAGTTAGTATGCAAGCTTTGATTGGTCAATTAAGCAGGTTGTATTTCACGGTTTGGACCGCCGGAATAAAAAGTTTGCTTTGGTCAAAATTTATGGCAGGAAAACTATTACCTAGAACTTTTTGGATTATGGTTATGCTAAGTATTTGACCCATGTTTTTGGTCACTAAAATAAAGCCACAATTTTGGACACTTTTGATGCACATTGATTATCAACAGACATTTTGCCACATGATATCCTTAAGGGAATATGCCTTTTCATTAGATATGCGAGCATGCAGATTTGCATAGAGCAACAACTGTAAGTTGAATAAATGGCAGCATTATAGCGTGACACCTGTTAAGTATGCCTGACTAACATAAATTTTTACCTCAAGTCTGTCATCTACACTCAGCCATTTATCAAATTCAACCTGCCAGTTCAGGACAGTGTTTAATGGAGCCACTACTAAAACACGTTGCATTTTGATGTCTTCATGAGTCATGAGGGTATGAACAAGGGCCACAACCTTGGAAACAAAAGATAAAAGAATTAATACAAATCATCAAAAGCAAGCATGGCAACAAAGTGTAGCCTTGCCACCAGGCCATGAAAACCAACATACTTTGTACTTAATTGTGTGAACAGTACAATACATACCCAGAACCAATACCAAAAAATTTGCAAACCTTGCTACACTCAAGTCTTTGAGCCTTAAATTGCAAGGACAAAAGTTATGAACTATTTCCTTTACTTATGCTTAATGAAAAAAGGTCATTCTGGTTTGTTGGTTGAAACTGCATGTTCTTATTATTATCATTATTATTATTATTATTATTATTATTGTTACTGTTGTTGTTGTTAATGTCATTATTATTATTATTATTATTATTATTATTATTATTAACAAACATACAAAGTAATGAAGACTGGCAAAAGTTACTTGTTTTTAAGGCAGTCCTTTATATTCAGTATTGAATCTTGGACTTAAATGGTAAATAAATGAGTCCAAAATGTAAACCTTGCAGCAAACTCTAATGACACTGACTACAGCTGTATTTTGAATAAATGTTTGCACTAGCTAGCTGTAGTAATGAGTATTGTTACCTGTAAAGTTTTCCCGAGACCCATGCAATGTGCCAGTATACATCCCCCACCTGGGTCTTCCTTCTTCCAAGACTTTAATGACTCAATGATGCAATCATACATAAACTGTATCCCTTTACACTGATGTGGTTTTAAGTGCTGTAGAAGATCCTCCTTCACTTCAACAGTGGGTTCCTTGGTGCTCGGGTCAGATTCCAGCACAAGACTGGCCACTTTGGCCGATTCCCCTGGCATGTCATCCTCATTATTTTGAGTCCGTTCCAGAAGGCGTTTTCGCCTTTCTTCCTCAAGCCTTCTTGCCTTTTGAGTCTCCTCTGCTAGTTTCTCGTCCTCAATGAGCTTACGGATTTTCTTACGACCTTTTCGTTTTGAAGGGCTAACTTCTTCGTCATCATCATCAACATCTTCCTCGGACTCATCACTGTCTTTCACTATGAAATGCTTCTTTTTTGATTTCCCCTTCCCCTTCCCCCTCCCTTTCCCTTTACCCTTCTGTTTCCTTGTCTTTGTATCCTCTTCTGATCCAGAACTGCTCTTTCTGCCTTTTTGTCTTGTCTTCCTTTTCTTTCTCCTTCCAATCTCTTTCTCTTCTTCATCATCATCACTTCCAGATGATGCCTTCGTCTTTCTCTTGTTACGCTTCTGAACTTGCTTCTTTTTGTATCTGGTCAGAGGAACATCACTATCTGACTGGTCATCCGATGAACTGGATTCCTCCTCAGAGGTAGTTTCTTTGCGTGGCCGTTTTCTGGTGTGTTTCTGCGAAACACCTGACCTCTTTGACCTCTTTCTCTGTCTATCACCATCACTTTCTTCTTCTTCTTCTTCTTCTTCTTCTTCTTCTTCTTCATTTTCCTCTTCTTCTGAATCTGAAATAGCTTGTTTTTTTGACTTTCCTCCCTTCACTTTCTTGCTAGCCTTTCTTCCATCCTTACGCTTCCCTTTTTTCTTTGCATCATTTTCACTTTCCTCTTCACTTTCCTCAGAATCAGATAGAACTGGCTTCTTGGACTTTCCTTTCTCCTGCTTTTTACCCCCTTTCTTTGGTTTTTCCTCTCTCTCACTCTCTTCCTCTTCTGACTCTGACACATCCTGTTTTGTTTTTCCTCTCTTTTGAACTTTGCTATCTTTTTTTGACTTTTTGCCTTTTTGTTTCACCATAGAAACAAAATCTGAATCTGATTGGGAATCAGAATCATTTTTTTCACCTTCCAAACTCTTAACTTTCATCTTCTTCTGTTTTCCTTTCCTCGTAGATTTGCTCTTTGATCTTGCAGTCACAACAGAGTCCGAATCATTTGATGAACCCTTTGTAGTCTTTGTTTTCCTAGCTTTCTTTGTTTTACTGTCTTTCATGCTCTCTTCATGCTCTGATTCTGTCCTTACATCTAATTTCCTTTTAGTCCTTTGATTTGCCTTAGCCCTATTAGTCTTTCTTGAAGAGCCCTTGACACTTTCTTCAATGTCGACACAATCACTGTCATCATCAATAACAAACACATCTCCCTTTGACAAACCATTTTCCTTAACAGTACCCTCCTTGCTTCCTGACTTTTTCTTCCTTTTCTTGAGAGCGGAGTTATCACTATCAGAATCATCTCTACCGTGCTTTTTCATCAGAGTTTCACTAGGCGACAAAGCATCATCGGAACCCATTCCCAAATTTTCAGTCAAGCTACTGAGTCTATTTCGTCGCTCACTCTGGTTTGGAGTACCAGTGAGAGAAGGTCCTTTTTTTGTTTTGAAAATTGTCTTTTGAGATTTGAGTGTTTGCACAAGATTCATAATTTGATTGCATGTTTTAACAAGCCTTGATAAAGGTTTAGGATTACAAGCAAAGCATAACCACTCTTCTTCTTCTGGTGCATTCACAAGTTCTTTAAGCTTGGCCTTTCCTAAGTTGAGTCTAATACATTTTTTGCAGAAGGCCTTGTCACACTTGTCACAGCAAATGAGTGACCCACCATCTCCACACCAACGACACTGTTCCTCTACACCAAGCTCGTCACGGGTAAAAGGCCCAGAGTTGTAGTACTGGCTGCATTTCTAGAAAAAGATAGGGATATCTAGATTGAAATAGTGTATAATCACTGGTTAATAAACATATTCTTGTTATAGTGAAGTTGTAATAAGCGTATGACAGGCCTAGTTTATCGTTTGTCTCAATATAGAGTGAACCCGGTTAATACGGACAACACGCGGGCCAGGGATCCCCCCCGGCTACTTTCACAGGAAAATAGAAGAAAAATAACCCAAACAAATGTCTAGCTGTTTGATTCCCTGCGTACTAAAGTCTTGTTGTATTTACATGAAATCTTAGTGACATTTCTGATGTAAAATGCTGACATGTTAGTTGTCGATCCTTTCCAAGGCATATTATGCTCAACAGCCTACAGGTCGTGGATCCCAGAAAAAACGTAAAGATAGATTCTTAAAATTGTGCAAGGATTTTACCTGATACTTAGAGTTTTTACGATGTCACACGCTACAAGAATCCCGTCCTGCATAACAGGAATCCCATAACGCACAACAAGAACAACATAATAAGTGACACAATCCACGACTCCCGAGAGGGTAGTAACTTACTTTTGAGTGCTAATGTACAAGTAAAAGGAAACTTGCTTACTTTGCAGACCAGAACATTGAGACATGGGTGCCTGCAAATAGTTCCATGAGCAGGATTCACATTCCTCCCACAAGCTGTACATTCCACTCTCCTGGGCAACGCAAGGACTAAAAATGAAATGGCATGTCTTGAATTAAGAGGAAAAACTCAAAGGCAACGTTACCTTCAGCGTTACAGGAATAGCTCAAGAATAATGAAGTGCCTATCCACCAAACTTCCAAAATTTTCACCATCTCATTTAACACCGTATGACTGTCAAAATGCACAATCAAAAACACAGACACAAAAAGTTATTATCTAAAGCAAAAAACTTGTGCAGTGTACTTGTAGTCAAAATTCACAATACAGTCCTCGTTATTGGATGGTCCGAGAAAACAGGTGACATTTAGCAATCCCCACCAACGGTTTTCCACAAAAAAAATTCCTGATGAACGAGCAGAGAAATTCCATACTGGTGATACATTACTACCAAGATCTGGGTGGTACTTCTGATCGGTTGAAGCCAATTTTCAGCCAATCAGAAGCACTACCAAGATCTGGGGGGTGTTGCTTCATCAGCATGGAATTTCTGTGCTTGTTCCTTGGAAGTCAATTGATTGGGAAACTACCCTGGTGGCTTGGCGAAAAGGTTGGCTGTTTTCTCAGGTTAGTTATTGGAAAGAACACTATACTTCCTCACCATTACCTTCTGCATCAGAACCTTCAGACAGGAGCCTCTTCTTCTTCTTCTTTTCACCACCCCCTTCTCTTTGTTTGACCTCTTCACCACTAATACTAAAGCCAAGCATCTGTTGGAGCCCTTCTAATGAATTCTCAATATTTTCCTCAGGTTCTTTCTTAACAACTACTGGGACAGAGTCTTCCTGTATGTCCTTGTTTGTATCACTTTCTCCACTACAGGGAACTGCTTGCTCATCCTCAACTTCCATGCCATTCTCAGCGAAATGCAGATCACCATCGTCATCCGTTACTAGAGGTTTCTCTTGAGGGTGAGTGCCTTCTTCAGTATGCTTATGTTTCACTGCTCTGTGCAATTTCCTGTATGGCCAAAAACAATTCAAATTAATACAGGCTTTCCAATCCCTCCTTCATTTTTGTTATTACTTTATTATGATATTTTTTACACATTGAGAAGTGGCATAGCAAAGCTTTTCGACTAATAGAGAGGAGAAGTATGACATCACATCACCATGGTAGCACTATTCCTGGATGACAACAAAACCAAAAAGGAGAATGGCAAAAAAAACTAAAAGTTTTTATTGACAAAACAACAAATTTCCTCATGCACCACGCTTTTATGTACATTTCTTTGCTGTCATTCTACCCCTAAGTCATGAAACTTCCTAATTTCACATGCTTGCTTTAGGGAGTAGGTGAACACAACACAAAAGTTGTCTTTTTCCTTTTCTGAACTTAGATAAGGTTCCTTCAGATTCAACCCAAGAAAATTTTGCCAACATTTGCCAAATAAAAATGAAATTGAATAAGATCAATCAAGTTTGACGCTGTGCGAATTCAAGGTAGCACTATTCCTGGATGACAACAAAACCAAAAAAGGAGAAAGGAAAAAAAAACTAAAAGGTTTTTATTGACAAAACAACAAATTTCCCCATGCATCACGCTTTTTTGTACATTTTTTTGCTGTCGTTGCACCCCTACGACATGAAACTTTCTAATTTCACAGGCTTGCTTTATGGAGTAGGTGAACACAACACAAAAGTTGACTTTTTCCTTTTCTAAACTTAGATAAGGTTCCTTCAGATTCAACCCGAGAAAATTTCGCCAACATTTGCCTAATTAAATGAAACTGAATAAGATCGATGAAGTTTGAAGCTGTGTGAATTCATTTTTTAAGGGACATTTTCGGTTTGTTGTCATCCAAAAATTTTGCTACCATGGCAACGTGACTTAACAACTTCTCCTCTCCATGGTAGGCCTGGCTGACTTTCATTTCCACATAACTATCCTGAAAATTGCAGACATGACTAGTACACACTAACCTCACCTACATTTTGAGCTCTTAAGCTTTTTAGCTCACCCCAACAATGCATAATTTATTAAAAGCAATAGAGCTAGAGTGATCAAACCAACAATTTGTAGGCCCAGGCCTACATGTCTGTGGGCTGGCTATGCCCTTGTTGAGTGATACAAAGGCACAACAATAATAATACTTGTATATAACAGCAAAACATGCTGACATTCAAAATTAGTTTAATATAATCATGAAAGATCCAATAAGAACAGTTTTTTTTGTTACAACAACGCAATAGTTATCACTTAGACTATTTTATAAGCTTACCGTTTTGACGATCCTGGCAATAGTTCATTTTTTGGGCTAATTTGGTCATTTTCCTTTGCTGCCTCGATCTACAAAAAAGCACCCAATCTAGTTAATTTTCTAAAACTCGTCAACAATTCAAGAGTTAACAGGGTGCAAAGAAAGTCAGTTTTACAGCCTGCCATTCGGGCAAGCTGCAGCTAGCATGTACTAGCCCACAAGTCATTTCAACTAGCCCAAAAACCCTTTTTGATCGCAGGATTGATTACCATCCTTCTGTAATTTGAATTTCCCCAAAAAATTCACTTGCCCGTCGGGCAAGTTAAGAACAGAATTCACTAGCCCAAAAGCAAAATCCACTAGCCCCAGGCTATCGGACACGACTTTCTTTGCACGCTGAGTTAAAGACAGAAGGGATAAAAAACCATGATGTGGTTGGATATCTTGTGAAAAACCACTAATAATAATATTATCTGCAACCTTAACTTCTCCTTAAGAGTCAATACATGTATGTCTGCAAAAAAATATTCAACAATATAAGCAGTGTACCATATATTGTTATATTCCTAGACTTTCACTCAACTAAACAGGGACTGCCAATGGTTGATTTTGGTCACATGGTCTTGACTAAAATCAAATGTATCCCGATCATGATACATTTGAGCAAAAAATATTGTACCCCACTCGGGATACATTACAGCATGCGATCAAAGCAAGGTGGAACTGGCAGTGTTTTTCCCACCTTCTATACACATATAGAAGGTGGGAAAAACACTGCCAGTTTCCTTTTTCGTGAATGAACACAACAACACAAACATGAAGCCTCAAGCTAAAGAGAAACAATTTTCAAAGGTATCCCAGTGCAAATAAATGCAGATAATATAAGGAAAGTACTGTCTAAATCATTCATTTAGTGGTTTTGTATATTAAATTTGTGTTCTTGTAAGTACCGAGTCGACTGTTTTGATTTGCTTTGGTTATTCTTTTGTTGCTGTTGAAGTAAAAGTCTAGAAACATAAAACACTAACCCCTTGGGAAACCAGTTAGTTTTGTTTTCCCTGGAGTCCTGATGTTTTCCTCGACTCCATCTGGTCTCGGGAAACATCAGGACTCTCGGGAAAACAAAACTAACTGTTTCCCTCGGGAACAGACATTAAGTGCATAATATATCCAACAACGTGTCATAAACACATTGACTTAAGCAAAGAATAAAAATATAGCAAGTAGATAAAGAGCGAAAGTGTGCATTTTGTCACTATGTGTTGTTTACAGCATGAATTCCAATATTTAACCCAATGGACGATTCAAAATTATTGACTACTAACAATGCAATTCAAATAACACACAACGCAAGTATGAATTGATGGAATATCAAACACAAAATCTAGCCATGTCAATTCAAGAAATGTAATAAAACGTGACAACAAATCCAAAGTAACACGAAATTCACACACACAAAAAAACATGTCACGAAGGCAAATAAGTGAGCATGCCATATGACATGAGGAAGAAGAGGCACCTGTTATGTCAGGGAATTGAAGACATACATGTGTCTCGTAGTGTCAAAGAAATAGTCCTTGACGTGTACAGAGAGGAAAAATAAAGTAAAGTCAAACCAAACAAGACCCTTTAGCCATGCTTGTCTTTACATTTATAGTTTATAAGCCTGTAGTCAAAAGAAATCATACAAAAAGGGGTAAATGCATTTTTATGAACATATGTTTTGGGAAGATTGTAATATTATTAGTTTAAAAATGGTCCTATGGAAGGACCAGAGAGTGTGTTTCCTGAAATATGATATTTAAAAGGCCATTATGCACGAACGCAAACACGTTATGTTTCAATACGTTTTTAAAATAACTGACCATATAAAATATCCTTTTTACCCTTTTTGAAAAGCCCTTAAAACGATCAGCATCAAATTCCTCCTTGTCATAACAACGCTTTACAAAACAAAGTGGTCACAAGAATAAAGCAGATCAGAGTTCATGCAGGGGTGTAGTGACCATATATTTGCACGTACGCACCTCAATTAACTACAAATATGTTTTTTATTTTATTTATTTCTTTTTTTGACTTATTTATTTATTTATTTATAGATTATTTGGCACCTTTACACATGCAAGAGTTTTCTCTTGTACTACTGCTATTTTTTGAAAAGAAAACCTTGTGAATATTGCACTATTCACCCTGTCATCACAACCACATTACCAAAGTGACCCACACCCAATTTCTGTGGAAAGTAGGAATATTCTAGCTACAAAATAATCATGCCAAAGTTCACCACATACTTCCCCTACAGTGTTTATAAGATCAGTGTTTATTTACAGCTGTTCCATTCAAGTTCAATTCACAATTGTTACTGTTTTGTACTACTTTTTATAAACAAAAGGTAAAAGCACACATGAGCCAAAGGACCCAAATGTCCGGAGCTTATCCCGGTTTCCTGAGTATGATGCATGCCTGGGAATATTGCTACTCCCCCCTGGACAAGATGCTTGTTCATCGCAGGGTTACCTCCCAGCAGTATGTCGCTGGTACCCATTTATACACCTGGGTGACGAGAGACATACTGGAGTAAAGTTCCCAGACCCTGGGAGGGCATCCAGAATGTAATAAATGCCCTCCTTAAGCAAAGAAGCATAGCCTGGGGTACGACTGGGGGAGTCGATTTTTTTAAAATTATGTATTATACCCATCCTGCCAACCGATGAGCGTTATTTCTTGATAAATAATTCGTTTTCACCGTACATCCAAAATACTTTGGAGAAATTGGCATGGTCATTTCTATATTTAGATTTTAAAACCGAACATTATTTTCAGTGAAATATATGACACCAAAACAAATCATATATTCCACGTTCACTTATCACTCCGCTCCAAAATAAATTATATCGCCACCAAAATCATAGGAAGTTTTAAAAACGAGGTTACATAAAACGTAACCTAGCAGCAATGAGAATCGGATAACTAAGCTTAACCTTTGAACAGGAACATTTTTAAACGAAAACCCACAACACACCCGCGTTATTTGGCGATTATAATGCACGGAAAAAAACAAGGAAGTCACTTGTTTAACAACCGTAAAGTCAAGCAGGGGTTAATGGAGTGTTTATATGCAAATATCGCAAGCCGGTAGTCTTTTATTAATTGTCACAGATCTGTGTCGTCAAAATAGTCCTTTTCACATGTGAGAACAAGAAAGTGTTCACGCAACACATTAGATCAAAACAAAAATCTTACCAGCTTTTCTTCTCCTTCTTCTTGAATTTCCGTTCCCAGGGGCGTCTCTTGGTGGAGTTTTGTGATAATATTTTCGAGCTTTCGTCTAAGGAAAAACCAAAATTCAATTCCACGTTTGGCGGTAGATAGATGAAATGTCACGGCAGTTTACGATGGAAGTTGGAAACTACAAAGTAGTAAACAAACGACACTTAACACGAAGAAAGAAAACAATGATACCAACCGTTTTGTCCTCACTCTTTCTTCGTCTGGCATTTTCTTTTCCAGCGAAAGGAAAGGAATCTTATTTTACAATAAATACAGAATCCATTTCTTTTTATTTCTTTCTTTTCGCGCCAGCCTGAGTGACCAAGCCAATTGCATTTCCCGGCATACCCTTTAGAACACGTGCTGAGAAGCAAAGATAAAAAAAGGAGCTCGGACAGAGTTACCATGGTGACAAACTCGTTACCATGGATACCAAAAATTCAATTGGTCTGTCAGTCTTGCGAGCTGAATGGCCTTTTCTCTTTCCTTGTCAAGCCCTCAACATAACTTCCTCCGTTCATACCGGGTAATCATTTCCATGTAAGGAAATCCGTCGCGGGCTTTGTAATCTAGAATACAGCTCAAAACTGAAATCGGAAATCCCACTAGCGATGAGACTCCAGAATCCAAGTTCCGATTGACAAAGTCATTAATCTTGTAGAATCCAAAATCTAAGACAGTCTTCAGTTCCATCATGCAAGCGGCGAATCAATGCATCATTTGGGTCCTTAAGCAACGAGAACGTTGACGTCCCGAACGTTAAAAATGCAACCAGAAGTTTATATTTTCTCTATTTCAGTGCTCTGACTCGACAAATTCGTGCAGCTGGACTTAAAACAAAGGCATTGACGTTCGTTGTGTGAGACAGAAACGTTCCATCAAGCGAGATATCGAACTCCGGATTGCTAATCATGACGTCCGGGACGTCAACGTTCTCGTTGCTTAAGCTCGCTAGTAACAACTGTAATGCTAGCCTGGGACCAGGCTCCGCAGTGCGGGAAAAAGGCAAAAAACGGGGTCAAATAGGAAAAATGTTGGCGAGCGAAGCGAGCCCAGCGGTGTCCTGGGGAGGGAGGAAAGGCCGCCACTCTTTCCCCTTCCCAGACTACCGCTCGGCTTTTTTTTCGATTTTTTTTTTCGCCCACGTTGATTTTTTTCTTTTTCCCCCAATGCGGAGCCTGGTCCCAGGCTACTGTTATGCACATGTCATCGGCTTGCCCCATAGCCTGCTGTCTCTCCTCACTTCTCGCCGCTGGGAAAGTTTAGCAGAAATTAAAGACTACAGAGTTCGCAGGCTATTTGTCCCAGGACCTTTGAACTAAGGAAATTGCAAAATGAGTGAGGAAAAGTTGGCAATTTCCTCCGGAGGAAACAAGAAAAAATAAAAATCCCCTGAATGCAGCCGTTCTCAACGAAAACATCCCCTTGATACTATCACCGATAAAAATAACTAGAATTCATTTGATTGAAAGGAAGTTTTTTAGTACTTAGTTGGGGATCAAATTTTTTGAGCTTGGAAAAGCAAATAATACACTATTTTTATTCAATAAAAATAAAAAAAAAATGAAAGAACATTTGAAGACAGGTGTATTTTAACAATAACTAATAAGTTAACAAGGCTCAAAATAACGGACAGCAGGTCGCCGGTCATGATGACCGGCCAAATATTTTTTAGCCCGGACAAACCCCGATTTTGGCCGGTCAAATTAATGAATATCATAATCATTTTTTTGCCCATGGAATATCGAATTACGCTGGCAGTAGATCGTTGTACGGCATTGTCGTTCAGGTTTTTGCCGGCAAGTTGGTAAAAAATTCATTCACACGTTGTTGAGTTCCTTTCCGCGATTTTCGCCCGTTTTTTTTCCGTTTATTATATCTTCAGTATCATCGTACGGCGGTATCGGAAGTTTCCAAGGTTCGTCCTATATCTGCATATCGGTGAAATCGGCGATTAGCCCGAATTCCTTCGAAGGTGATTTTCACAATCGTCTTACAAGTAGAATCAGTATGTGAAACGTTTGATGGACAAAAACTGTCACTCATCCTTTAGTTTTCTAAAAAATAACGGATTATTGTTAGCGTATGTTTTCCCAAAGAAGGTCGCATTACTGATCACAGCAGAGCAGAACGTTTTTCTTTAAAGGGTTTAGTGCAAAGCAGCAAAAAAAGCTAAAGAAAGCAGCGAATTACAGCGTTATAGAGCAAAACGCATTAAGCGACAAGCATCCAAAAATGACCGGTCAAAATGACCGGCCAGACGAGAGTTTGACCGGTCAAGCCCACGATCAGGCCGGACATTGTCCGTTGACCGGCCGTTATTTTGAGGCCTGCTTAAGTTAAGGAAAATAATTTCTCTCAATAGGTTTTATACTTGACGTTAACGAAACACTGGCGCTCATGTCATGTACAATCCAAAATTTGATCAAGGAGTAGGTCCATTTCCGTATTCCAAAGAGTATTCGAGAGGTCGCATAGCGAGAATTAAAAAACAAAGGAAAAGACCATCTGATAATTCTCACAAAAGAGGTCACCGGTCGCTCAAGGGAGCGATCAGTTACGAGAGCTTATCTATAAATAAATAAATAGATAAATAAGTAAAAAAAACAAACAAACAAATAAAATAAAAAATATATTTGTAGATTTTTGAGGTGAGTACGTGCATATTTCGTCGCAGATAGTTGTATCATGTTATGTGCAAAAGCATTGTAACCTTTATATTGAATGTAAAAACAGCATACCAGTCTCGTTAATTATCAGTACTTTCGAGAAACAGGGCTCCTGGCCGGTCGTAAAAAGAGCTGGGGCCTGTTTCTGGAATGTCCCGGTAGCTTTTCGGGCCCGGAAACTGTCAGTGAGATCTTCTTCATTTCAAAATAAATTGACAATACCACATTTGTATTTCTTGGTCTCTTTCTTATCATAGAGACGATCTGACCAAAAATTTTGGCAAAAAATACCGCCCAAGAATGAAGAAAGTCCACTTCCAGTCGACGTGTTCATTAAAGAGGTACATGTACAACGCCGTCTTAAGGGTGATCAGGTCGGTAGGAATTTAGGGACCGGTTATTACTTATCGCCTTGGGGGGTGGGGAGGATTTTAGGGGGATCACTTGATTTTCAGGAGAACAAAAGGGGGAATCAGTCGTAGCTGAGAACCCAAAAGGGGGGATCGCTGAAAACTTTGGAAGGATTCGGAGGGGGACCACTCAAATTTGCTTGGAAAAGGAAGACATGGGGGATGGGGGAGGGGGGGGCATCGCGAAAGTCATCAAAGGTTATTAAGAGGTATCACTTCAGTGAATTAATATTCAAAGTGGGGATCGGCTAAATTTCACCTTGTTTAGCCCCAAATCCTCCGCCCCCTCCCCCCCTCCCGCGCGGGCTATAAATAATGGCCGGTCCCTTAATTTGCCGGGTCTTCTAACCGCTAGTAACAGTCAGATGTCCCTATTGCACTAGTGTCCACAAAAAAAGGATTCGACTACAGAATTTACATCACTGGTTGAAGTGATATCACTGAAAAACCTTGAGGGGACCGGTTGATAAGACATGTGTATATTTACGTTTTAGAATCGTCACAAACACTTCGTACAGTATTTTCTTTTGTTTTTAGGTAATGTTCCGCACAAGAACTAGGCCAAAAACAGCGAGAGTAGCGCAAAACACCGTTGGAATAAAAGGCGATAACTTTTTTTATTGTGTTTTCCAAAATAAACCTAGCCTCCTATATGTACACCAAACTACAAATGTCCTCCCATATATTTAAATTTAGTGAATGAAATGTCTTTGTGTTGTCGATGCTCGAGACTTTCGACTCCTCTAGAATCAGGCAAGATTGTAACTGTTTCTTAGTTGCATCGGCTACAAAGTCACCGCCAGTAGCTAAGTGGCGCAAATGATTCACCAAATTTGCGAAGGTCAAATGACCATCATCCTCTCCCTGAAGGTCTTGCGATGTTTCGTGGAGCTTAAATCTGTTGCAATCAATAAAGCAGAAAGAAAGTAAGTTTAGATGTTGGCCCTTTTTATACAAGAGACGTTAAAGTTGCCTAGACATATTTAACGTCCGTGAGACGTTAAAGCCGTCTGATGTAAAAACAGGACGCATAAAAGTAGACGAGACTAATATTGGAGTTTTCAAAAGAGACAAAACACTGACTCTTTCCTGTCGTTTCTAGACAAGTTGGGCATAAATGCGTCCCACTTTAAGGCATTCCTTTTTTGTACCAAACGTATTTTAAGTCTGAGACGTTTAGTTTAGTGCATCTAAAAGACACACGTAACAGAAGATGTCGCCAGACGTTAAATGCGTCCGTCTTACCCCTTGGGGGCTGGAAGTGAAAGAGAAAACTGCCTAAACTAATGTACTTTGAATTTGCGTAAAGCTGTTTCAAAGAAATGACCTTTATAAAAGCCAGTGGGCTATCAACAAAAGTGCACCACGTCTTGACGTACATGCTGAAAATAGCAGCGGAAAATTTTCCACTGCTGTGGCCGTTCTTCTTCCCCTAGGAAATTTAATCGTTGTCAGATACATGGAGATCGTAAGCTTCACCTTGATGCTGTTTTTCGAACTTTTCTCAAACCAGGAGCAATTGGTTTGAACCTTTTCGACGCGTTGTTTCCTTGGAAAAGAAACTCGCTTCCCTTTCCGAGGTGTATATATGGGTACCGGGACATGTATACCGTTGGGGGTAATCCTGCCATGGACTATAGCACTCTGTCAAGGGGGTTGTAACAATCCGGGTTACGGTCCGGCCGTTTGGACAACCTCGTTCCCACGGTTCTCCAACGATTCCCCGGGGAAAGGGTAGGACGGTGACCGGTCGTTTCGCTTATGAGTCATTTCGCAAACGTCTTATGTCGCGCCGCTAAGAAGCGAAACAAGCACTGCGCATGTATATGCTTCGTTCTCTCAGCCATGATAAAAATGTGCGATACGCATGCATATACCTCATTCTATTAGCCACTGACCAGGAAAGAGCAGTTAGGGAACTGACCTATCACGTACGCGAAACAACTTTAGAAGTTAGCCAGCAGGAGTTGGAGAAACGACTCGTAGGCGAAACGAACGTAAACCAGTAGGGCAGTACCGAAAGCTACTAGCGACAGCGCGTCACCCAAGCCGAAAATGAACTGGAAACTAATCAAAATACTCGGATTAAGCACTGAAAATAGTGATTAGGGTTAAGCACCGAAATAGTCAAATCCTCCATGGTGTAGTGGGGTTAGGGTTAGGACTTTGGAGCTAAGGATCCCGGGTTCGATACCTTCTTATGACACTTTCGATCTTCTTCTTTCTTAACAAAATTGAAGGGACTTAGACTTCTAAAGTCTCAGACTAAGAAAAGAGTAGAAATTTGAAGAGAAAAGCTAAGAGGGGAAGGTAGGTGACGCGCTGTCGCCAGTGGCATGTGACAGTACCCTGGGAACGAGGTTGCCGTTTGAGCCTCATGGCTCAGGTGCGCCTTTACTTTTACTATTAATATTTATTGACTAATCTATTATTTTGAAACAACTGAGGTGTTAAGCTTGTCAAAACCATCACAAAAAATCAGCGTAAGTGCCGGCATTTCTCAGGCACAAAAGCATGAGAAATACTAGACACCAATTTGCTGACAGCTATTTTATTAGATAATAAGAATTATGAACAGAAGAAAAATCTTCTTTACCTCCATGAAATTCCTCTTGAAGTGTGACAATCGTCCTTGCTGCAGCAGACTTTAGGGATCATATTTTCTGCCCAACTCTGCAGATGGGACAGGTAAATCTTAAAGAAGGCATCATACATGAATGCCACTCTTCTGAGAAGATGTGGAGGAATGGACATCATGCTAGGGTGAGGAGTTGAAGCTTTTGATAGAAATTCTGACGATAAAAAATGAAAATAAAATTGAAATTTTAGTGATCAGTAAACTTTCAGTTTTCAGATGATTAAGTTACAACATGACTAACTTTGAGGTTACATTTGAAAAAAAAAAAGACAATTGACAACAGTAACAACAACAAGACAGGACAAAATAATTAAACAACTATTAGAAAATAAGCCCATCAAGAGGTTTTGTATATTATGTTGTGGTTCAATTTTATCCTTGGTTTAAATTTTATTTCCCTTAGTTTCAAAGCCATAAACATACAATACCATACCCAATAACAAAAGAAAATAAAATTCAAAACATGGATAAAATGAAATCACAACATAATATACAGTGGAACCTTGATATAACAAATGGTCAAGAGACTGGAAAAATTTGTTCACTATAGCGGGGTTTCGCTATATCAAGGTTCTTGTTCATATATTTTACTATTACTGGGTTAAGAAAATCATTTGTCAAAGGACTTGGTTATTTAGAGGTTCACTTTATCGAGCTTCTGTGTATATGTTTCACAAGGATAAAAACCAAACTAACCAAAATTCAGACTATGCATTAAAATGTCCTTGAGATGATATGATTTTTCTTTATTTCTAATATATTCATACCTAGAAGCCAGTCCAAAAGAAATTGCATAACATCTTTAGCTTGTTGCCCAGACTGGCAATCATCTGGGGTCAAGAGAAGTGATGTGATAATGCTCCTAAGACCATTGTCCTGTTCAGCTAGAACATGCAGTTTTTCAAATAACAGCTTTCTCCTCCTTTGAGGATCTACAAAGTACAATAATGATGATGATGGATCAAAAGAGTTGTTTGCCTTAGGGCGCTTTTCATTTGTCAGAACTGACCAGCCAGCCCATTCCCATCGTAATGAGAATTTCACTTTTAATCATTGAAACTAACCATCCAGACCGGTCAAATACTAAATATTATGCACAAAGGAGAAGGTTTTTCAGCAAAATCTCTTGGAAAAAGCCTATTTCATTACAAAAGTGTCTGGTCCGCCATGGTCCAACCGGCCAGTTCTGATGTGCCACCTTGAGTATTTGTATCAGACCTTACAAGCCACAAAAGCAAAACAACACCTTGGGGACAGAAAAAAGTGGCCATTGTGGAGAGGTGGCTGTTAGTGGAGGTTTGACTGAAATACAGCCTACTGTCTGTCTTAGAGAAATGTCCATCTTGTAGAGAGCCTTGAAACTACCTTATCACTGAGACCCCCCCCCCCTTATTTAAGGGTCTGGATGACTGGCCACCCCCCCCCCTTATCTCAAGGTCTGGATCCGGCACGGCAAGAGGCATGCCTTAGATCAGAGACTATAAGAAAGGATCTGCCTGTGTACAAAAGACACACACACCCACCCATCCCTCCACTGGAAATCTTACCTCCAACCTTAAGCTGATGTTGTACATACTTGAACAAACACTGTGCAGTGACGTCTACAGCTACTTCTGCAGAACTGATGGCTCTAGGAAATTCCCCCACACTTGATTCCAAGCTAGTTTTAATAGTTTTCTCTTGGCTTATTCTTATGTCTTCTGTAAGTCTGTCTCTCATTTTACACAAAAGATACAAAGCAGCCCTTGTTTGACTCAAATGGCAAAAATCTCTTAGTAACTCCTCATTATCACCACAAGTCTGTGTTTCTCCAATTGTCATTCCATACAGCTTTAAAGTCAGTTTATACTGACTCTCTGACAAATGAGGATTTTGTAGGAGAAATTGCCGCAGTAAAGTCTTTGATCTACCAAGAGCTTCAAGGGATAACTTGAACTTTCCAAGGTAAATTTGTTCAGATTTGTTGAAATTTTCAAGGTATTTATCAAGTTTCTCTGCTAGTGATGGCCGGGACTTTAATCTGTGATAAACCTGAAATAAAAACAAAAACATATACCCGCAATCAGCGACAAAATGAGTTGAGACACTTTGCCCTAAACTGGACTTTTTTACGTTTTACTGACTTCAAAAGGAGGAAATATAGCTTTTTCTCACCCATCCCCTCCATGCAGTGTTGTGCCGATGTTCCAGCTACCTACAAAAGACACCCCAACTTTGAATGGGAGGGGAGGGGGGGCATGGGAGGGGTGTGGATTCTTTTGTTCTCTTAAGTTACCCTATTTGAGTACAATGTCTCAACTATTTTGTCGCCGATTGTGGCTCCTTCTTCATATAAAAATGCTGCCAAGCGTGCATGAGAGCAAGCCATGAACAAGACGGAAAGCAGCATGCAAAGAAAGTCGTGTCCAATAGCCTGGGGCTAGTGGATTTTTCTATTGGACTAGTGACTTCTGTTCATTAGTGACGTTTTTCAAATCCAAGAACTTAATCAAATTTCATCAAAAGAATTCTAGCTACAGCTAATCAAAATTTCTTTGCATCAAAAGATTGTCATTTTCCATGGTAGTATATGGATGAAACATTTAGCGATGTCCAGTGCTGTCAACTCTTCCGGATAATCCGGGAGACTCCCAATTTTGAACCGTTTCTCCCGGTCTCCAGATTAGAGTCTGAACTCTCCCGGATAATTGCCGAAGTTTGCAATTTCTTGTAGATTTGACTTTATGACAATGAAATTTCAAATACTTTTCATTTTTGAGCATTTCCCCAAAGAGAGAAATCCAGATGCCTTTGCAGCATGTCAATTTTGATCGGTGGAAAAAACCAATTAGGTCAAATGTTGCAGTTCCAACCCGGGGCACTTCTTTTTTTTAGGTGGGTACTGCTGGTAAAAGGGAATTGAAAAAAAATTTCCCTAAAATTGGGATGAAAATGGGCCAATTTTATAGGGGTATCAAGAGCACAAACTGAGTATTTCTGACACCTCCTCCCAGAAAGCTTTGGAAAACAATAAGCTTAGCTAGAAAACAAACAAAAACTTCACAGGTTTTTTTTTACCGGGGCAAACCCTCCTCGTTGGTTAAATTATATATTTTCTACGCCCTATAAAGTATATAAGAGCCCCGGCCAATACAATGAAGATTTAAAAACATTCATAGAAAGGCTCTGGAAAACTTGGTCTCAGTCACCTCTTCGAAGTAGTTTGCCCATTTGTAGGCTTTCTGGAATGCACCTTCATCCCACTGCCGTACTGCATCACATCTCGACATACACAGCACATCCACGAAAACATGGGTATTCTTCAATATTTCATTCATTTCTCGGGATGATAACAGAATCGAAGCATCTCTTCACCCGTGTTCAAATATGGCGCTTGAATTGGTATGTACTTCATGGAATAAAGTCACAAGTGCACCGGTGATATATGCTCTGTGTAATGTACCGTATTGTGTCTTCTCACGATGCAAAATATCGTGATTTGTCAAGGCTGAGGCAAATAATAATTGATCTGCGAGACACTGACAAATCACGATATTTTGCGATTGCCGAGTTCAATAATTGTTTTATCATTCGATCACCAAGTTTGTTTTTCAATGAATATCTTCGGGAAGCGAAGCTCTCTGCCATTTTTCACGCAAGAGCGATCGCAAGAAGGAGAATTAGAAAAGCGTGGTGTCGTTTACGCATGAGCAGAAAATTATTTGCAGCCAAACACAGTTGGATGATGAGCAGACCATTATTTGTAGGCAGTTATTTGCAGGTCACCTGGTGGGCTTTCGGCAAATGAAAAGGAAGAAAAATTTGCATCGAATGATAATACTAGTTGCCGGTAGTTATTAGTAATTACTGGTAGTTAGTGGCAGTTACCTGTAGTTACTGGTAGTTCCTAGTTGTTACTGGTAGTTGGTGGTAGTTACTAGCAGTCACTGGTAGTAACTAATAATTACTACTAGTAGTGTTGGAATATTATTCTTGTTAATGCGAGTACAGAGTTCTTAGTACATAAGGTCACAGCTTCCAAAGCAAAGTTTTCTTTCCGAAAAGGAAAAAGACGTCCGACCGTCCATCCGATGGACGAATGGACTGAATAGGTAGATCGACAGACAGATTGAATTCCTAGCTGGACGGATGTACGGATGGACTGAATGGATGGATGGACTGCGCACAGACGGATAATCGGTTTGACAGGAATGTTTATTTATGATACTTTCACTGGTCCGGTCATTTCGGTCGGTTGGATCGAAATGCCCCTTGAAATGACAGATGAACTGATGAGCAGAGTCTGAATGGACAGATGGACAGACTGAACAGATGGATGACCAGACAGACTGAATGGATGTATAGTATGGATGGATGGACAGATGGACAGATGGACGGACGGTGGTACCAACAGACAGATTGGACACACAGTTATATTACCTGATGGACAGACAGACAGATGGATCGGGACAGATCGAATAGACAGACTGATGAACAGATAGACAGACATAAATATACGGGCAGACAGCATGGTTGGATGAACTGAATGAATGGACTGACTGGACAGATGGAGGGACAAATGAAATGAATAGACAGATGGATGGACGGACTGAATGGATGGACAAATGAACTGAACAGTTGGACGGATGGACAGACAAATGGACGGACTGAACAGATGGAATGACTAAATGGAAGAATGGACGATAGACTGAATAAATGGATAAATGGACGGATTAAAATCATAGAATAGAATAGAAAACTTTTTTTAATCACGGTGACTTTGACCAAAAATTATAATACATTGCACTTTTGTTTTTCCCAAAAGCCGTGAATTATAATATTACAATAACGCTATTTTAAAATATAAACAAATATATGTCGATATCTTAAGTGTTTTTATTAACTATCTACGAACAAAATAAAGCGAAACGTTTGATTACAGTGTAGAGCTAAAAATCGATAGAGAGATCGACGAATTCTAATTTGTTTTTAAAAGTTCCAATGGATTTTTCACCATTCAAATCGTCTGGTAACGCATTCCAGACTTTAGCCCCAGCGTAGTCAAAGCTATTCTGGTAGTAATCAGTTTTTAACTGCCATGAGTTCAGTGGTAAAACCAGCAGGTATTTGACTATAAGACGGACACCTCCCTAAAACGGACACCTAGAGTTGGTCCCTGCCTTTCTTTACTCCCTTTATTTGACTCTCTATAAGACGGACACTTACTGCCGGTCCCAAAGGTGTCCGTCTTAGAGGGAGTTGACTGTAATATCTTATATTTTATGCCAGTAACAAACTCTTTTGCAAGTCTTAACTTGCTTTCACCTCAACACTAAAAGCTGCGATAAAAGCCTTAACAAGCCCGGTTCGTTGTCACGACAGTAAATTTCAATAGGACAATTGCATATGACGTCATCTTACTGCAACTAACAGAATCCTTCAGTTTGTTGTTTTCCTGAGTAAATTACTTACTTAATTACGGCTATTTTCTTCAAAACCTCAGCATTATTGACAAATTTAAATAAGAAAGCCAAAACGAGGTTGCACATTAACAGAGTGGTTCTTTGTTTTTGAGGAGATGAGAGAACCGGAGTATCCAGAGAAGAACTAACAGAAAATTCAAAATCCTGAACCGTAGCCACCCTGGTAGGAGACTTGTGCTCTCACCACTACTCCATTCCTAGCTCCCCTACATTTCATTCAACCAAATGATTCCAAGCCGCATTAAGGCGATCTTACACTAGACAAACTGCAAAGACAATTCTTAGGACCACAGTGTTGGAACAATGTTGTGACAATTCAAAACAATGTCGCAGCAATGTTGAAGCGCTGTGATGCACTGAAAATCGTTGGTATGATTTGTCGCGTGTAACATCTGGTCACAGGACGGCGAAGAGGAAGGGGGACACGTGCATTGTGAACTATGAGAAAATGGCGAATAGCTGGATAGAGCAGGATATCTTACATTGTTTTGGTATTCTATAAACAGGTTCATTATCACCGACTGTCACTTCGTGAACCGCTTCTCTGAACAAATTCTCAGCATCTTTGCTCGTCAGGACACGGATCGTAAAATCCACTAAAATTACTCTGAAAGAGAAACCAAAACAAAACATCGAAAAACAGGCGTTACACAGCGTAACACAAAAGACTCAATTTTCTCAATTAATAGTCGTAACGTTTATATTTTGACCTGGCCTTAGTTGTTCAGAAGGTGGATAACACTATCCGTCGGCTAAATCTCTATCCAGTGGATAACGCAACTGGTTTCCCTAATACATATCCACCAGATAGTGACTACTTCGGTGGACAGCGCTATCCAATGTTTGATCCAACCGGGACGTGGTGAGTAAAAGCGTTTGCTTGTATCTGCAATTTATTCGCACTTTTTTGTGAAAGGGATTTGACGCTTCTTGACAGCACGAAAATGCCATATGTTGTGGCTCACCGTATCTACGATTTGTACGTTATCCGCATTAAACGAGAAACACGATGACAGTCCACTTACTTGACTATATGAATACACCTAAAGCCAAACCAATGCACATTGCGGCGCAGCCAGTCGACTGTGTTCAGAAATCTGCTTTTCACATCTGTAATCAATCATAGAACCAAACGTTCCTCTTCTAAAAAATTAGTAATGGAAAGATGCAGTGATCAGACAATGAAAGGAAAAAAGAGAATTTATTACAGGAAACTAAAGGTTTATGACGTCTGAGAAACAAGTGCAGAAATTCCATTAGGCTTTTGTACATTATGCTAGCATTTTTTCGAGCATTTTAGTGAGGCAAAAGCATTGAGCATTATTCGAGCACTTTAGTGGCATTTTCCCCGGAAAATTAATTTTTCCGAGAAAATAAAATAGAAATTAACTTTTTTCAGGAGCTCATGCCCCACGAGCTCCTGCGTTTTTAAAGAAAATGAAGACTAAAACTCAAAATTCACAAAAAACCTAATACAGCTGGTTTTTTTGGCTGTATTTATGAACTTGTATACACGTTGTGGTTGTTACTTGCAACACTTGCACGTTTTTGTAGTGGGAAAAATGGAGCATTAAGGTGGAGCATTTTAGTGGGGAAGCAAAAGCATAATGTACTAAAGCCTAAATTCCATGCTGATGGTCGTTGGTCGTGCTGTGCAGGAAATTTGCTTCAGCCAATCAGAAACACTACCCGGAACTGGGTAGTGACGCGTCATCAGTATGGAATTTCTGCGCTCGTTTCTCAGACGTCATTTCACGGAGAAAGCAGTGGTGGCGTCGCGAAATGTTGGCTCTTTTCTTAGGCTAGATTTATTCACCACTGCCAAAATTAGCCCACGTGTGATGAAAACTCAGACGCACTCGTATAACGGGCTTTAAGTGATCGTTGCCTACATAACTTTGAAGATGAATTTAAATCTGCCTTGAGCAATTGAAAGGACCATCACATCTTTCCTTGCTCTTTGTCTATGTATCATGCAAAGGTTTTAAAAGTTATCGTTAATTTGCGCGGAATAATGAGGCCTAGGGACTAGGCGAATCGTTACTAAAATCTTCCAATCGGCGGAAGGTTTCGCATAAAGGTTCTACGCTGTATATCACACAGAAAACACACAAGAAACTAATGGGAAAAATACTGGTGGCAGGGAAGCACTTAAATCTAGGGGTAAGGGGACCAGGAGAGAAGCCCTTCTGGAGGGAGACAAGGTACAGAGGTTGCCACCCTGAACAGGAGTCCTGATCAGTCTCCGGGGGTGAGGCCCGTATCCCATATTCCATTTTCACTAGGAACTGAGGGGAACCAGGAGCGGGCCCTGCTAAGTCGAGTGCAGACCAGCTGGAACCGGGGATCACCCTGGAGTGGAAATTAAACACAGGGTACCCTACAGCGTCAGTGACTAATATCTTGGAGACTGGGTGGATCTAAGAGAAATACATAATATACCCGTGAAAAAATAGAATAACAATACATACGTTATAATGGTTTTAATTTTTGTGACCTTCTCTATTTTTCTTGTCTAGGAACCTAATACCAATGAATTTGGAACTCCAAGCTATAACTGAAAAAGAAAAAGACAAAAACAAGAACAAAATTAATACAAAAATAGCACAATTACATTGCAAACCAGTAACAATAATAATAGTAATAATAACAATAATAATTAAAAACATAATTAAAAATTTATAACGCGCCTTTTCCGTGATAAAAAAAAGTACCGTGAAGGAACTGGAAAATTTTATGCATTTTTATCTCGCAATTACACAGAAATAACTCAATTTCACGAGCAAAAAAAATATTCAAATGGTTGAGACTCCCCCATTCTGAATAAAAATGTTTTGAGTTAAAAAATTCTGAGTTGAAATATTTGGAGTGATGACATCGGAAATCATACTTTCCAAGTGATGATATTCACAATTTAAATGATTGAAAAGATAAGATTCCGAATTTAAATGTTTAAAGTGATGACATTCGAAATTCACATGGTCGGAGTGATGACATTCGGAATTCAAATGTTTGGAGTGATGACATTCGGAATTCAGATGTTTGGAACGATGACAGGCAGAATCAATTGTTTGGAGTGGAGACATTGGAATTCAAATGTAAAATATTGCGAGTGAAGACATTCGGAATTCAAATGTTTGGAGTAATGACATTCGGAAATCAAATGTTTGCAGTGATGACGGTCAGAATCAAACGTTTGGAGTGAATACATTCGCAATTTAAATGTTACGAGTGAAGACATTCGGAAATCAAATGCTACGAGTGAAGACATCCGGAAATCAAATGTTACGAATGACGAAATTCGGAAATCAAATGTTGCGAGTGAAGACATTCGAAATTTAAATGTTAGGAGTGAAGACATTCGGAAATCAAATGTTGCGAGTGAAGACATTCGGAAATCAAATGTTGCGAGTGAAGACATTCGGAATTCAAATGTTAGGAGTGAAGACATTCGGAAATCAAATGTTGCGAGTGAAGACATTCGGAAATCAAATGTTGCGAGTGAAGACATTCGGAAATCAAATGTTGCGAGTGAAGACATTCGGAAATCAAATGTTGCGAGTGAAGACATTCGGAATTCAAATGTTTGGAGTGATGACAGATTCAAACGTTTGGAGTGATCAGGTCAGGTGTGCCTTGCCTATACCAGTTAACCACGTAACCCAGTACAACCTGAGTCATAGGTTAAGCTGTCGGTGGCTAAACCGGCAACTCCACTAGGCGTTGGCCTACTTAATTAGGGTGAAACTGGGTATCCAGTCAGAAGGATAAAAGATCCGTCTTAAGGTCTATGGTGGACCAAGGGCGGAGACAAACAGACCTACCCACCAGCCAGCCGCTGCAGCATGGCATAATACCAGCATGTCTTGACCTGTCCTTGCCCACTGGACCCGCGCATTTTTGCCCTGGCCCTGGCCTTTTGCATGCAGTTCTAAGGCACAGAAAACAGGCGCCCATACTGGCTCCAACGTCGCCTGGCTTAACAAGGTTCGCGCTACCTCGCTCCCACTCCAGAGACCAATGAAAAGTAAGCTAGGAGAAAACAGGATGTCTCTGAAACTCAGAGAATGGAATGTCAGAACGTTACTAGATAAAACTGACTAAAGAAGACCTAAACGTCAGACAGCATTACTACGCTGCCACAGCTGGGAGCTCCAAAAATGACCAACCCCGAAGAGTTTAAGGAGAAATTCTACAACAATCTGAGAGAGGTGCTGTGGAGAGTTCCTTGTACTGATAAACTGATAAGAGCCGCTGACTTCGATGCCAGGGTTGGAAAGGTGGACAAATGGCCATGTGTGATTAGCCCACGTGGAGTTAGCAAGTGCAACTCAAACAGTGAACTCCCTCTGGGTCTTTCCTGGGAACACAACTTGGTCATCGCAAACACTATCTTCAAGCACAAGAAACATCACAAGACCACATGGATGCAACCCCGCTATAAACATTGGCACCTTTTAGATTATATGACAGTAAGGCAGGTGGACCAAAATGACATCTTGAACACAAGACCCATGAGCGGCGCTGACTGTTTAACTAACCATGTTTTGTTAAGATCCACTGTTGCCTTCTCCATCAGTAAAAACATTCCAAAACTGCTGCCAAAGCACCCTGCAAGATTGATGTAATGAAACTACGAGATAAAGATAACCAAGAGAAGTTAAAGATGGAAGTCGACAAGGCTTTGGGAGGATTTCAACATCAGGAGTCAGAAGTTGTTGAAGAAAACTGGAATTGTTTAATAGACACTTGTCTTATGTAAATCCAATCGGAAACACCAGGATTGGTTCGACGATACTGACAAAAAGGCGAAGGCACTGTTAGAGGAAAGAAATAATGCAAGGGTGAAAAAGCAGGACAAAACTGACTGGTACTCGACGAAATCTACAGTAGTACAAAAAGGAAAATGAAGTCTCAAAGGTAGGGGGCAAAGGCTGAAGAATTGCAGCAGATAGCAGAAAAAAAAAGACACGAAAGCTTTTTACAATGGTCTGAGAGAAGTATGAGGGCCACAGAAGAGGGGTACAACACAGCTTACTGACCTTGGTGGTGAGACAATAATACAGGAGAAAGCTGAGATTCTCCATAGATTTACAAACTACTTTGACAAACTTCTTAACATAACTGGAGAGGTACCAGCACTCTGCCTTGGACGCCATTACACTGCGACTAAACACTGTATTTCTTGATGAAAAGCCTGAATTCAAGGAAGCGTTGGACGCGATCAATGCAACAAGCAAAGGTAAAGCCCCAGGAATGTGCGGTATACCTGCAGAAATCTAAAAAGATGGCGAGGAAAGACTTGCTTTTAGCCTGTACAAATGGTTTTGCAGATCTGGGAAACTGAGGAAATACCACAAGACTGGAAAGATGCTATTATCGTGCTCGAATTCATTAAGAAATGTCTAAAGGACTGTGGGAACTATCAAGGTATTTCTCTTCTCTCAATGGCAAGAAAGATCTTGGTTCGCATATTCCTCATAACTCCTAATGATCTTGTCTCCAGCAGTTACAAGAGAAGTGTATTCAGCACAATATGCTGCTGTATACCGTTTTTATCCTGCTTCAAATGGAGCTATGGGAAGGGTAGAGACCAGACCAAGAGGGACCCCTGGTACCAGTTTGGGGGTTGGGCATAGGGCTAACGACCATTCCCCATAAAAACATTATGGTTACAAAAACTGAAAGTGATGTTAATGAGACAACACTACTTGGGGATATCGCTGCTAGGACTGCAATGACGCTCTTGGGACAAAACCCGCCGAAACCCAAAGGCCTATAGGCACCGTAGTAGCCTCCAAATGACAGATGATCATCAGCTGCTGAAACGTGAGGACCACGGCGGAGGCAACAAGGACAGGGAAAGGAAAAGATCAGAATTCCAATGTTTGAAAGGTTTAAGTCAAAATTCCAATGTTTACAAAAGTAGGGCCAGAATTCCAATGTTTGGGAGGATAAGATCAGAATTCCAATGCTTTTAAAAATGGGGCCAGAAAATTCCAATGTTTCTGAGGGTAACAGCAGAATTCCACATTCATAAGAATAGGGCCAGAGCTCCAACGCTTGGAACAATAAGATCAGAATTCCAATCCTTGGAAGAATAAGATCAGAATTCGATCCGCTTCAAAGAATAAGATCAGAATTCCAACATTTGAAAGAATAAGATCAGAATTCCAATGCTTGAAAGGAGAAGATCAGAATTCCAATTTTCATAACAATAAGGCCAGAACTCCAAAGCTTGGAAGAATAAGATCAGAATTCCAACGTTTGACAGAATAAGATCAGAATTCCAATGTTTGAAAGGATGAGATCAGAGTTCCAGTTTTTATAAGAAGAGGGCCAGAATTTAAAAGCTTGGAAGAATCAGATCAGAATTCCAACGTTTGAAAGAATAAAATCACAATTCCAATGTTTGAAAGGATAAGATCGCAATTCCAATTTCTATAACAGTAGGGCCAGAATTCCAAAGCTTGGAAGAATAAGATAAGAATTCCAGTGTTTCAAAGGATAACACAAGAATTTCAATGTTGGGAAGAAAAGACCAGAATTCCAGTGTCTGGAACAATGAGATCAACATTCCAATGTTTCTAAGGAGAAGACCAGAATTCCAATGTTTGGAAGAATAAGGTCAGAATTCCAATGTTTATGAAAATAGAGCCAGGAATCCAATGTTTAGGAGGATAAGATCACAATTCCAATGTTTACAAAACATGGGCCAGAATTTCAATGTTTGAAGGGACAAGATCAAAATTCCAATCTTTAAAAAAAAGGGCAGAATTCCAATGTTTCCAACGTTGTGATTAGAATACCAATGCCCATGAAAAAACGGCCAAACTTCCAATGTTTGGAAGGCTACGATCAGAAAACCAATGTGTACAAAAAAAGGCCTAGAATTCCAAAGCTTGGAAGGAAAAGATCAGAATTCAAAAGTGCACAAAAATGGGGCCAGAATTCCAATCTATAAAAGAATAAAATTATAATTCCAATATTTATTAAAACAGGGCCAGAATTAAAATGTCAGGAAGGATAAGATCAGAATACCAATGTTTACAAGCATAGAACCAGAATTCCAATGTTAGGAAGTATAAAATCACAACCCATTGTTTACAAACATAGAGGCAGGATTCCAATGTTTGAAAGAATAAGATCAGAATTCAAAAGTTTACAAAAATAGGGGTAGCATTCCACCCTCAGGAAGGATCAGGTCAGAATTCCAATGTTTACAAAAATAGGGGAAGAATTCCAGTGGAAGGAAGGATAAGGTCAGAATTCCAATGCTTAAAAAAACAGGGCCAGAGTTCCAATGTTTAGAAGGATAAGACCAGAATTCAAATATTTCCAAAAAAGGGGCAGAAATCCAATGTGGGAAAGGATAAGATCAGAAAACCAATGTTTACAAAAATAGGGGCAATATTCAAGCGTTACAAAGAATGAGGTCAGAATTCCAATGTTGGGAAGGAATTCCAATGTTTAAAAACAAGGGGTAGGATTCCAGTGTTAGGAAGAATACGGTCCGAATTCCAATGTTTTCAAAAATAGGGGGAAAATTCCTGTGTTAGGAAGCATAAGGTCAGAATTCCAGTGTTTACAAAAATAGGGCAAGATCAAAGGCCGTTGCCAGCCCCCCCTGGGGCTAAAATTCCAGTATTAGCACGGATAAGTTAAGAATGCCAATGTTTACAAAGATAGGGCTAGAATTCAAATGTTTCGAAGGATAAGATCAGAATGCCAATGTTTAAAACGATAGGAGGAAAATTCCAGTGTTAGGAAAGATAACATCAGAATGCCAATGTCTACAATAATAGGGGCAAAATTCCAATGTTAGGAAGGATAAGATCAGAACTGAAATGTTTACAACGATAGGGGCAGGATTCCAGTGTTAGGAAGGATATGGTCAGAATTCTAATGTTTCATAAAATAGGGGCAGAATTACCAATGCTAGAAAGGATAAGGTCAGAATTCCAGTAACTACAAAAATGGAGACCGAATTTCATGTAAGGAAGGATATGGTCAGAGTTGCAATATTCACAAAAATAGGGAGTGAATTCCAATGATAAGAAGGATAAGATCACAGTGCCAATGTTTATAAAAATAGGGCTCGAATTCCAGTGTTAGGAAGGATAGGATCAGAATTCCAATGTTTAACAAAATAGGGCCAGAATTCCAATGTTAGGAAGGATAAGATCACAACGCCAATGTTTACAAAAATAGCGCCAGAATTCCAATGTTAGGAAGTATAGGATCAGAGCTCCAACTTTTACAAAAAGCGAGCCAGAATTCCAATGTTAGAAAGGATAAGGTCGAAATTCCAATGTGTACAAAAATAGGGGCAGTATTCTAATGTTCCGAAGGATAAGATCAGAATGCCAATGTTTACAAAAATAGGGGCTGTATTCCAATGTTTAATAAAATAGGGGCAGAATTCCAATGTAAGGAAGGATAAGGACAGAATTCTGATATTTACAAAAATAAGGGCAGAATTCAAATGTAACGAAGGATAAGATCAGAATTCCAATGTTTAAAGAAATAGGGCCAGAATTCCAGGGTTAGGAAGGATAAGGTCAGAATACCAATGCTACCAAAAATAGGGGTAATATTCCAGTGTTGGAAAGGATAAGGTCAGAATTCCAGTGTTTACAAAAATAGGGCAGTATCTTAATGTTAAAAAGGATAAGATCAGAAATCCATTATTTAGAAAGATACGGGCAGAATTCCAATATAAGGAAGGACAAGGTCAGAATTCTAATATTTACAAAAATAGGGGCAGAATGCCAGTGTAAAAAACAATAAGATGAGAATTCCAATGTTTAAAAAAATAGGGCCAGAATTACAGTGTTACGAAGGATAAGATCAGAGCGCCAATGTTAATAAAAATAGGGGCAGAATACCAATGTTAGGAAGGAAAAGATCGGAATGACAATGTTTAAAAAAACTCGGGCAGAATTCCAGTGTAAGGAAGGATAAGATCAGAATTCCAACGTTTAAAAACATAGGGGCAGAATTCCAATGTTAGGAAGGATACGATCAGAATGCCAATGTTTAATAAAATAGGGCCAGAATTTCAGTGTTAGGAAGGATAAGATCAGAATGCCAATTTTTAATAAAGTAGGGGCAGAATTCACATGTAAGTAAGGATAAGATCAGAATTCCAATGGTTAATAAAATAGGGCCAGAATTCTAGTGTTAGGAAGTATAGGATCAGAACTCTAACGTTTACAAAAATCGAGCCAGAACTCCAATGTTAGGAAGGATATTGTCAGACTTCTAATATTTACAAAAATAGGGGCAGAATTTCAGTGTAAAGAAGGCTATGGTCAGAGTTCCAGTGTTTGCAAAAATAGGGCCTGAATTCCAATGATAGGAAGGATAAGATCAGAATGCCAATGTTTACAAAAATGAGGGCAGAATTCCAAAGTCCGGAAGGATAAGATCAGAATTCCAGTGTTTCAAAAAAAAGGGCCAGAATTCAGGTGTTAGGAAGGATAAGATCAGAGTTCCAATGTTCACAAAAATAAGGCCAGAATTCCAGTGTTAGAAAGGATAACATAAGAATTCCAATGTGTACAAAAATAGGGGCAGTATTCTAATGCTACGAAGGATAAGATCAGACTGCCAATGTTTACAAAAA